AAACATTTGCGAGACTAACCTATATGAGGTATCTTGCATAAATGAATGTCAGATATAATTCAATGTCCAGCGTGATATTAGCCGGGGAAGTAATTGTTTTCCGGCAGGCATTCACCAGAACCTACGGTGTAGGTACAGAGAAAGCATATTCATGCATGAAAGTAATTTTTCCATCATTTATAAAAATCAAAAGTATGAAATAAGATCACACTGACAGTAGGGTAATTGCTTTCACTGATGTAACAATTTCAAGCAGTAGATAAAACTAATGTCTCTATTTTGTTAACTGCTCTCACCACAATCCCGGCATATTTATCTAATCAACGAATATAAACTTTAAAAGGTCACAAGTTATATTTTCAATCTCTCTTGATGCATTTCTGCTCTCATAGTGAAATTGAAGTTTAAAAATAGCTGTCTCACTAGAACATTATTGGTAAAAAAATGTGTCGCCCCTGTATGATTTCATAAACTTATAATCTACAAGATCTATTCTAAATATGTAGAGATAGTAAACTTTGCTCTAAGCCTAATTGTACTGAAAATAATGTGTAAACATATTTTTTTGTAATTTTAATTTGTAATAGGTTCCCTAAAAACGGAAATTTAGGGAATACTTTTTACTTTACATGCGAGTCTCTATGAGTATGGTAATCAAAATATGGTCAATAATTGACATAGTACTGCCCCTGGCACTGAAATTGTTAAGTTATTGAATGTTATATATTTTGTGGTCCAAAGTATCTATTGTAATTTATTAGAAAAATTGTATGTGAAAAATGCATAAATAACTACATATTTTAATATACACTATTCAAAAATGTGCTAAAATACTCAAGAATTAAGTTAGAATTAAGTTTGCTTATGCGAGTTATTTATGATATTTTATATTGTTTGAAAAATTCATCTGTTTCTCAACATCTACAAGAAAATGGTTTCATGTCAAACCAAAATCAATATTTTGTAAAAATACAACTTCGTAGGAAAAGTTAGAAGATAGCGGATGAATTTTATAATTTTTATTTTCTAGCTGATTGTGTACATAAGATATTCTCCTAAAATAAGTAAAAGTTTGAGTTATACATAAATGTGTTATGACTAGGGTTTATGAAGCGAAAATTATGTAAATTTGATGTTGAATAAATATTAAAAACTATTGATGAATCATGACATTTCATTGAAAGTGATATTATTAGGAATCAACCTAGACTGGCCTGCTGATCTTCATTTTTCATGATTTCGGGAATCAATCATCGGTATACGATGAGTTATCATTATACTTATTTTCAATAAGAAGATAATCACTCAATAGTGTATCAATACTCAAACATAATCAAAACAATTTTTCACAAAATGTTAGATATGACCCTGATTAGTAGATCAGTACAACCTGTGGTAGTGGTCCAAGCCTTGCCTGATAGCAAACCTTCCATTCCTTCCTCCCATCACCGGTTTTCTTCATCCCTCACCACACTCCCCCACATTTATTCGCAAACCGGATCCATTAGTCCCTCTTCCCATTCGCATCCCTGAGCCTAAGCTTCCTATTCTCTATTTTCACATGCTTTTTTAATTCACGCCATCCGGCTCTAACCACATCCAGGCATCTGTCGGCGAAATGTTGTGTCGCTTCAGGCTCTTCCCAGCCACATAGACATGGCACTTCACGGGCCTGCGTCAGAGCTAGCGCCTCATGTCTCTCCACAGAAGCCATGGAGCAATCTCCCAGTGATTTTATTGTCACATTTCCTCTGTCATTATTACCAGATTCTTTTTTTTTCTCTTAAGTTCGTCATTTACACTTCATACTCTCTACACAATCTATGGTATCACCTCTCTATCCATACCTGTACCCTTCGTGCACTTTCCTATACTATCCAAATCGGTGCTCCCCTTTTTCTCTTTTCCCAGATCATTCATTAGATTTTCACCACTCTCTTACTCGTGAGTTTAGCTGCTCTTAGTCAACTCACAGACACGACAGAGTCATCAACCACTTTCACTATTTCATACACGTACCTTGTGCTTATTATTCTCTCGATCGCTATCAGCTCTGCCTCATATTTACAGTGCTCATTCCGAAAACGTTGTCGTTCCCCATAATATATTCATCCTCTCATTCATAGACCCTTTTCCTATACCCATCCATTCTCACTCCGGCGTCCACATATAACTTAGTCACTCTGTACCCTTCCTACTCTCCGAGCAGCATTCCTTGCACCCCTGTCCGTTCTTTCCACTCTCGCATCAATTTTTCTCCACCCATTTATGACTCATTCCTGATACCTGATCCGTGTCACAACTTGCCTGAGTCCAACATTCCGACCAGTCCATCTACTTAGTTTCGCAGCAAGTACCCCCAGTTTGTTTTTTACTTTTTTGTGGTGGTCAACGCAGTATCCACCGCAATTCCTAGGTATTTGATATCCATTCTAGTCTCAATTACTCTCTCGTTCATTCTTTTGACTAGTAGCCTCACGTCTCTTCTTGCCAGTATGTACATGCATCTCGTCTTCCTCGCGTTGTATTCCAGCCACGTGTCCTTCTCCTATAGCTTGCATTCATTCTGTACCAACTCCCAACTGCTCTACTCGATATTGCTCCCCACGATAATTACCAGGTGACCCACCACATAGGCTAACACAATTTGCTCTTCGACGCCTTTTCTTGCTATCACATATCCGAATCGTACAAACTATACTTCCATCACAATCAACCATAGCGTCGGATGCAGAATGAAGCCCCGAGGTCAGCCTTGATCCATCGTCTCGGCGACAGCCCCGCTGGTAACCATTCTTTCTCCTATGAAGCTGATTAGTAAAGCAGTAAGAGATTCATAGTTGGTGGTATACTGGTAACGGCAAATACATTTCAGGCTGTTTACGAATTAATAGACAGGACTCCTGTTAACCCATCAAAACAAGCAAACTACAAACACGAGATTTTCTAACTGACACCACAACAAAATGAATAGCTCCTGTGCATTTGTTATTTCTAACAATAATTATTCCGTTTGGCTAGAGCACACTGGTAGAGGCAAATAATCCAAAAACATATGCGTCCCTTTCTTTCCAAAGATGGAATATAAACAAGAATTCAGAGAATGTCTCAAGCTCACAAGTCTACAGTTGGCTATCCGATTATGTCAGAGTGATTTTTTTTCATTTAAGAAAGAATTTGAATGTTTTCTATTTCACTATGCATGTTATAAGATGGAAAAATAACCGATATTACTCAGTAAAATAATTAAACCGTGCCTTCGATTGTGTAAATCATGAAATTTTAGCCAGAAATGTGTTTTTTTGACGTTTAAGGGGTTTATCTACAGTAGATTTCATCATTTCTAACAAATGAAAAAAATATGCATTAACCTACAAGACCATGAAGGAATAATAATTAAAGTGAAATCTGAAAATTCCCATCTGATCATGGGCATACCACAAGATTCTGTATTCGGGCCAATGTCCTTTTTGTTATTTAAAAATGAAATTGAATATCGAATCAAGCTCATTTCAATAAATATGCAGATGACACATCAACGATAATTTCTGACAGATGTGATCTAAATGTAGAGACTAAATGCAAGGCTATACTAAGTATTCTCAACAATAAAATTTTTTGAAGGCGATTGACAATATTCCTTAGTGAGTGTTATAAGTTAGGACTTCCAATGAAACTAGAGCCCAAAAACAAGGCATCATGATCCAACACCAGGTAGAGATGTTTCGAACCGCCATAGGTCTCATCAGTGGTGCTAGGCTGAACCACAAATGTATTGCTGAAATCTACTATCCTTTAAGGTCAGGCCTAAGTAAGTAGAGGTGATGACATTCTCCTTTGAGAAAACGCCATCTACGGAATGACAGAAGACTCAATCTTAGTAAAAAATAAGCGAAACTCTCCAAAGCAGACAGTTGCAAAGTCATACTTTGACATCAACTGCCGAACGGAAAGGCGCGCCGGAATCATTAGCCAGTGATCACTCCCCACACTGTAAGGTAAATGATCATTGAGTCCGATAATCATGTACCCTCAAATCAAAATATACTTTATTGTCCGAAGATTAGCATCTTATTGACAAAGTCCAAGAAATACAATGTAAATATAAGAAAATTACTAAAAAAGTATAAATGTAGATATAAAATAGTTCCAAAAATGTATAGATAAAATACCACCATGTATAAAGTGATGGTACAAACAATAAATTGCTAATATATTGTTAAAAGGATTTGCTAAAATACTCTTCCAAACTATAATAGGGTCTATCAACAAGTAGGTTCTTCACCGTGACTGTTAAAATTTTATTGTCAGTGAACAAGTTCCTGCACGAGCAAATGATATAAACCAAGAATGACAGGCTCATCAATACTTTTTTTACCAAGAGGTTTTCGCCATTCAGGTCCTTTCTCAATGACCACTCCACATACTGTGAGTTAAGTGACCACTGGGTCCGAGAGTCATGTGCTAAGAAGACACAATGAGGCAGACAAAGACTGATTCTAGCTCCTACTTTTTTATGGCTTTATTGAAAGCTATTCTATAGCGAAACACGTGTTGCAGTTTTGTAAACTGTCCACTGAAAATCTCATAATAAAGTGTTACTTGAATAAGTTATGGATTTTCATCATGTATTGGCCAAATTCATCACATATTTTTTCATGGAATATTTGAATTCTTGTACTTTATAATTACTCTGAAATGTATCTAAGTAGGTTTCATAAAAAAACAAATAATAATTTGATTCTATATTTCAATTCACTTGATTTATAAAGTTATATATTAATATAAACAAAAATCTATCAAAAAGTGAATAGAGTACCAAATAAAATTCTGTATAAATTTGATGAAGAATCTAAATATAGAATACCTAATGTGAATTAATATACACTTATAAATAAAAAATTAAAATCAACAAATATGTTTCACTCACAATTGATTATAAATAGGTAAATCAAAGTAAAAAATCACAGTTAAATATCCCACTCTTTACTAGTTGAAGGAAGGAGAATTGATTGTCAGTCCAGGTTTTGTTTCAACAATTCCAATAAATCGTACTTTTCGTTCTCTTTTTCTATCTGTTCTTGCAGTAAACTATCCAAGCTATCTTGAAACCGCTGTCTTAGTGCCAGATTTTCAATGTTTTCAATTTTCACTTCTTGCTGTTGTCTTTTGGCTTTCAAATCAGCTAATTCTGCATCTATTTCATCTAACCGAACTTGAATATTCACTGAAAATAAAAACTGTGTATTAAAACTGTCTTATTTATGACAATTAGTGGTGGGACACTTTAATCCAGACTGATTTCAACCCACCTTTTTGTTCTGGAGTTCGGAAATGTGATTCACTATATGACATACTAGAAGTTGAATGATGATAATAGTCCATATCCTGCATGAGATTAGGAGAATGTTGAATGTCACGGAACATGTCGCTTGTGAACTCAGTCAGCAGCTTTGATTCAGCAGAATTATTCTGAAAAAAGAAATAAAGCTCTATCGATTCGAACAAAACATGATTCACATTTCTTAATTTTGATGAATACGAGACTTCAATGCCATATCTTGCCCAGAAAATACCCGCATTGGCCTGTTACCAAAAAAATAAATAAATACACCTCCAGAAATTCGTCTTTGTTGTTGATTCAGATTTTCAGTGTATGAAAGTTAATGTATCAGTAATCGAATAAACGTATTTCTCTTCATTCTTATTACACTCGTATTTCTTTCTTTTAATAGATTTTAATTCAGTTCGATAATTTTTCTGACAAATAATTCAGTTACATACTAACCCGAAATATCATACTATTCTGTAAACTAAACATTGACTTACAGTTTCATAACTGTTCAAAAGACTTTCATTATAGTGATTCGTACTAAACATGATATAAAATTTCGTGATTTTGAACATTAGGAGTGTTAGTGAAGATACAGGGGTTGGCAGAGAAACTATAAAAAGGATTTTGCACGAAAATAAATTCCATCCCTATAAGCCTAAGTTCATATACACTCTTAAGGAAAGAGATTTGGATATTCGAGTAGGATTTTCAGTTTGGTTCCAAGGATTTTATGCACAGACGAGGCATGTTTCACGTCAAACGGAACAGTTAATTCCCAAAATTGACGCTGGTGATCCAACAATAATCAAAATTTTTTAATTGGACCATATTTTTTTAGAGAAAACTTGAACGCAGACATGTACAGAAATTTCATTATGAATTAGTTGTCTGAAGTTTTGAATAATCTGCCTCTAAGATTGGGACGATTATTGGCTACCAAGATCACCGGACTTGTCTCCGATGGACTTTTTTCTATGGGGTTATCTGTGAATTTGGTTATAGTTATATGGGTTTAATGTTGTTTACACATCTAATGGTGAAAATAGAGAATATAAGATATATGAAATCAACTCAAGAAGCGTTATTATTTGCTCAATAAATACATCTAACAGTTTATATCCAATAGTCACACTGTTGGGTGTAAACTGCATTAAAATATTTCGAACTCATCGGCAGCTAAAAATGAAAATAAATGGAATACGAGTATTATAACAATGAAGAGAAATATGTTTATTCAATTACTGACATATTAACGTCCATACATTGAAAATTCGAATCAGTTTAACAATGAAATAAAAAAACTAGATGAACTTTGCAACAACAACAAAAACAAAATTCTGGGGGTGTATTTATTACTTTTTCTGGTAACAGGCCAATGCGTGTATGTTCTGGGCAAGATATGACATTGAAGTCTTGTATTAATCAAAATTATTAAATCTGAATCATGTATCGCAAATCGATAAAGCGAAAGATTCGAAAAATTAAAAAAATTAGTTCACTGTTTAGTGAAAATTTAATGATAGTGTTTCTTGAAAACACAAAATTTGGTTTTGGAGATGCACCCAATTTTTTGTCTGTATAATTTTGACAACTGTATACAACGTTTGAATTGTCACACAAGAAAATAAACTCTACTCTACTCTGTTAATAACTTGTTCAAGTATTGTAGTTGTTAGAATAACTTCTTGTTTGTAAACTTTGTCAGTTTTCGTTGAAAAAGTAGCAAAAAGTAGAAAAAAATAATGGAAAAGGACCTTCCACTACTTTTTTTAGTAGAAATTAGAAAACGATAAAAGGCCTGTAATAATAATTATTGTTCACAATAATTTATTTTGCATGGAACTTCAAAAACTTACCAAAACTGAATTTGAATCCGTCAGATGACTATCTTCTCCCGAATTTTGACTATTTTCATCCAAAACATCTAAAACATTCAGATGGGCATCTTCTTCTTCTGAGTCACTGACAGCTCCTCCAAAGATATCATGTTCAGCTACGTTTTTAGGGGGCTCTCCAGGATCTTTCTTAATTACTGTGCCTTTATTCACTTTTTCGTCTTCTTCATTAATAACATCCCATTTTATACCTACAGCGTCATTGTCTAGTCTCAGAAGCCTTTTCACTTCCTTTTCTATTTCAGGTGCTTCTACATATTTTTTCTTCAATGTCTTTCTGAAACGACGTTTTCTAACATTTTTAGTAGGCGGGGTAATACCATGTGGCCATAAATATTTCTTTTCCACTTTATTTGGATCTTTCTTCTTTTTCTGAGGAGAATCCTCATCAGTAGTAGTTTGATCATCATCTTCTCTACAAATCAACATCTGACATATATCAGCTGTTTTATAGAAACCTTTGCCATCAATGGTTTTTAATGATTCAACGATTGTGGGCAAATCAACTACTTTTGCAGACATAAGCCAATGGTCCACTCTAACTTCCCCATGACGCATGTCATTTTCAAGTTTTATAGTTACCCTATCTTTCAAAGTACTATTGTTTCTTATTGCTTCCCTTAGTATCCTAGCTGGTTCCTTCAAAATGAAACTGATATTAAAGAAAATTGCCATAATTTCCGTTATGTATATTTATTTTCAAACTTAAAAACCAGTTATTTGGTTCACAACACATATATAGCCTAATTTTAGACATCTATATATATGAGATACCCGTTATTTTACTAATTTAAAGTTCAAGTTCTGTGAAATAGGTAATGAAAATTGAATTTTAAATGCCATTTTGAATTCACACAACAGTTGTGTTTTAACAAACTAAACTTCACCCAGACAAATACCCACTTAAGTTAGAACAATGTGAAACAATATATGTATATTTTTCAATGAGAGAGAAATGTGACCATTACTTGTGAGAATAAAGTTTGTCGATGTTTTTTTGTTGATTTATTTTTCATTTCAAAATCTACCTGATTCACCAGAATTAATCATTTATCTACTTAAGCTTTGTAATCACCTGCTGTTATATAAAAGACATTTTAGAATAGTTTGATGTACCAATTCAACTGATGAAACTACCATGTAGAGAAACACATCCCGAATTCAAATTTATAGTGTGAAAATTGTGTAAGTATCATCATAGTGATATTGATTTTCATGGGTCAATCATAATTAGAAATGTATATGTCGAAAGGAACTGTGAGTTGAATGATTCAGTTTGATGCTTGAGAACATATTTTCTTGCAATGGAAAATAGATGAAATAAGACTATGAAATTATATATCTGGCCAACTGTGATTGGTTCGAAGTTGTGAGTTATAGAAAAAATGAAAAATTACAGTATCGAAAGCAACATCAAACTCGTATTCGACAACAAATTTTTTTTATTCAACTTCAGAGGCTATAAGAGTATTTGATGAACTGCCATTGAGGATCTATGACTTGTTTAACTATTGTTCATTTTTGAGAAATTTAAAAGATCTTATTAGGGTGGAGGAAAAATTGTAACACTTGTATACATTGAATTTTTCTTTGAACAAAGACTTCTTTTCATTGTATTTTGTAATGAATTCTTGTCAGACCAAATGCAATTGACATATCCATAAGTAATATGCTAAGTTTTTTTAATCAAGGACAAATTGAATGAGTAGAGATCCATGGTGTTCATCATAAAAATTTCTATTAGAGTAATTGAGCTAAGATATAATCACTAACAACTTCTTGGATATCATGAACTCCACTTGTATATATCTGTATATTTTAAAAAATTGTACTAACGGCTGGTAAACGTAGAATAAACTGAGATTCCAATTCAGCAGGCAAATCAGCTTCTCCTTTAAACATATTTGATATTTGAAATTTTTCTTTTTTTATAATTTTTGCAGCCACTGTCCAGTATTTGTTCAAGATTATTCCCTTATTCTTCACTGTTTACCACGAGTCTTCAGATATCTGTTGAGCATAAAAAACGACAATTTACATTTGATAGCACAATACAAAGAGTAGAGACCAAACAGAACTAATTAATTGTCACTTCCTAATTTCTTATTTATATATCAACTTTCAAGAAAACCAAAAAATTATTAAAAATTCTTCTCAAGGCTGGATTCCACTGTTGCCAAATGCTAAATCACAGACCATATACGTATATGGTCGTATATGGTCTGTGTGCTAAATGTCAATTACCGTGCAACACGATAAATTTATCGTATTCTATCGTACATATAATCGTACTATCTGATTTTTATAAATAAACTCAGAAATGAAAAATATCTATGCAAAAACATTTCATTATATTAAATAGTGCTGAATCGACTAGAAATAATGGAAATATGAAAAAGAGCCGATAGAATGAAAAAACAGACTTTACTTCCCACTACTCCATCACAGTAGAAAGAAAATTACAGACCGTGCGTTTCACTAAGCGTTCACAACGATCATGGTCACGACCGCAGTTTTTTCCGTTCCACAATAACAATAAGTTCAATAATTAATAATACTAATAATAATTTATTCACATACAAGTTACACAGTTATACAAAGTTAGTATGCAAATAATGCAAACATAATGCATATTGCAAACTAACTTTATTCATATTGAAAAATAAGTATAAATTATTAAACAAATTGACTTTGAATGTAATCAAAATGTCTTTTACGGCAATTGAAGATTTAAAAATGCGTCACAATTGTGCTCCAGAAACTAGTTCATCTAGTTCAGATGGAGAGTGGAATGCAACTTCAAAAAATAATCGTGAAAACTTGGGCCACGTAATTGATTATGAGAATGTATTTCATCGTCATTCAGATGAAGAATCCAAAAGTACATGATTTCCTATTACATATTACACTGTACATTTTGAAAATGTCATGTCTAATTGCACACTCAGATCATACTCTAAATGTATGCTACTTTTAAATTTACTTCATTTTGTGTAAGTAATTATTGCATTGATTACTTATGAGATTGTATAATGGAATAAGTTGAGAAATTAGAAATGAAAGGTAAGATTTACGTCATATTTTACCGAAATATTCTCAGCGTCCACTTCGACCCACCTCTTCAGATGGCTCCTTGTGAGCTTGCCGTGGGCGAAAGTAATGACGTCATGAGTGACGTTTTCGAGGCGACCACAACGACCGCGATCATTATGTTGAACGGTTATAGGACTTATAGGAGCATTTTGATCGTTGTGAGCCCATAGTGGAACGACGGAGAGTAGCATGTTTAGACAAGAATGAGTAGCTGACGACATAGATAGGCTCTTACGACGAGTTAAATACCCATCGCAACACAAATTTCAGTTCCGTGTCACCCATTCCCACAGTTATTTCCACTGGTGAAACTGATTTATATAATGTTTCTCGAGATTTTTTTAATGTCAAACGTTAACAATTACCTCAATATTTGAATAAATCGTTATTTACTGGACGGATAGCCATAGTTACTGATGCCATTCAATGGAAAAATAATAAAAAGAAAGTTGGGCAACAAACACAGAACACCCTTAGTTAGCTGGAGAAGTAGAAAGTCAAATTTTTTCCCGAATACTCTATATTCAGATTTATCATCACTCATACTGAATTTAACTTGGTACTTGATTCATTTTCAGATGGATTTCTGTTTATAATACATTATAAATTAAATGAATTGAATTATACAATCGAATCGAATCGATATTTGGTGGATATTTTATTTATATTATAGAGGAAAACTACTAGCGGTTTTGTATTATATACATACATTATAGAGTATATTATAAAGTACAAGAATTCGGATATTTCGTAAAAAGAAATGTGATGAGTTTACCCGATATTTGATGAGAATCCATAGCAGTCAAATTACACTTTATTGTGAAATTTACAAAAACGCAACACGTGTTTCAGTATACAATAGCTTCTTCAAGCGTGATGTCTATGCTAACATATACATATTCAATGTTTTGTATATATTTTTACAAATTGAAGTACCCAATTTTACCTACCTAATGTTAAAAATGTTAATATTATGGATTTTCATCAAGTATTGACGTATACAATTAAAAAATTCCTTTCCCACACAGCAGAAATTAAAGAAAAAAACTTTTCGATGCAATAATCAGTCATAATGTGTGTACTAAATTGGAAATGAATGGATATCTATGTATCACAATTTCTAAAGTGAAGTCACGAAGACAGCGCTCGAACTTTTTGACATTGCGCAGCCCCTCGTATTAATCTGGCCCCAAGGTGAATGCGGGAAAACGAATCTCTAAATCGCATAATAGTCCGGTCACTTTAGACATTCGAAGCTACCTAAATTCCCACCAAGCTAAAAATCCGTCAGATTGTTTAAAATGTGATTAAAAATAAAATTTGAAAGTTCCCCATCTTTCCCCTGTATGGAAAAAATGTTATTCAAGGTTAAAGATGAATTTTTTGTGATAAAAACTTTTCTACAACGAACAACGCCATGACACTGACACAGATTGTACAGCTAGGCCGTAGGAACCAGAAATTCACAAAAATATCCTAGATGGCGCTATTAAGTCGGTAAAGGAGTCAGGGATCATTTTACCTCGAGGGATCATTTTGTACCACCTTCCCCTACATGTAAACTGCGTTAATAGCGATGTATCGCATGTCGCCTCGTTGGAATCAAACGGATCCTCCACTGTTGGTGATTCAATATTAAAGCACGACCGGCCTTGACAATGTGTACATTCCACAGAACAAAACAGTCCGGCTTTTTTGCAACCACATTTAGCAATGCATCCCTTTTTGCAGTTGCAAAAAATTGTGTTCAGCAGTTTTTCCGGCTTTCCGGCGCAGGTGAGAGTAAAGTTTGGACTGGTTCTAATGAATTGTTGACCAACTTCCAACCCCAGTCTGATAACCAAGCCACACTTGAACTTGGTAATATACCCGAAAAATATGTTGATGTGCAGTTACTGAGGTTGAAGGAAGACAGGGTAATTCTACTTGTTTTTTACTTTTGGTATTTTTAACGAAACATGCATATCTATACTTATCTAAGCAGGTAGTTTTTTTAGGAGCTCCGTACACAGAAAGAAGAAAACGAATGCCGTTAGTGATAATTACTTGTCGAGTTGAATTACTATTTTCAAAAACTTCAGCACATTGAACTAAATTTTGTTTTTCAAACATTTTGAAACCTGTTATTTTTCCCCTCCTATAAAATGCAGATGTCGTATCACAGCCAATTATTGCGTGTAAAAATAGTACATGATTTTGACACTTTGCAAAAGTCGATAAACTTTTTGATGAATATATTTCCGATTGATGTTGAGCTTTTTCTGATTTTAAGAAGAAAATAGTTTTTTTAGTTGGAATTCGAGCAGTTAGTAATACGAGTAAATCCACATCTTTACCGACAACAATAGTTGTATTTGTCAAATTGAATTGCTCTATTGCGGTTTCAATTATCAATACATCAATACAATGACCGATAGAAAAATATTTTAACATATATTACAACTACAGCGATGTATAAATATACGTGGCGTACTCATGCATATTAAGACGATTACAACTTTTTGAATCGTTATATCTCAAAAACGATGGCTCGTAGGAAAAAAAATATTGACACATTTTTTGTAGATAATTTTATGATCTACAATTTTTGGACATACTTTGAAATTCTGAGTTGTTTGAAAACTTCAAAAAAGTTTAATTTCTCCCAAGTAAGAGAGCGGTCCTGAACAGTCCACAAATTTTGAAGTGACAATTTTACAAAATTCCCAACTTTATGCTGTTTTTTCGACGATAATTGATCACTTTCCACTTGTTATTTTATGTTTACGACCGGTTTCGTGTTTTACCCCATTGAGGTAATATCTGACAATCAATATATTTCAAATGCTTCAAATAAAGGAAAGGCAACATGGTCACTAATTAAAAAATACACTGGGAAAGCAAAAAATGAAAGCGACACAATTTTAGGAAACCTAGATACAGAAAACGGAAATAAAAAACTGGTTCTACATAAAGTAAATAGTTTTTACATAAATCAATGCTCGGAACCTGCGAATCCAAAATTAAATAACCCTGCTAGTCTCCTTTCCAAACCAGCAAACAATAAAATAAATAATCCTGCTAGCTTACCATCAGCGAACCAAACTCTATTTCTTACACCAACAACTGAAAGTGAAATTTATAGCATAATACTATCTCTAAAAAACATCAGATCTGTCGGCTATGATGAAATTCCTGTAAAACTACTGAAATTCACTGCGCAAGAACTTTCAAAACCCTTAACATTGATTGTCAACATGATGCTTAGTAATGGCATATTTCCCAATAAATTGAAAATTGCTCACATAAAAGCAATTTTCAAAAAAGGTGATAGAAATCAAATTGAAAATTATAGACCAATAGCTCTACTATCGACCATTAGTAAAATATTCGAAAAAGCCGTATATAATCGCCTTATAGCCTATCTAGAAAAGTTTGAGTTATTGAGTGACACCCAAAATGGCTTCCGAAGAGGCAAATCTACTACACGAGCGATTTATCAAGCCTTGTGCACAGTGCTAAATAGTCAAAATGAAAGAAAACACACTTTAATGATTTGTCTAGATCTGTCAAAAGCTTTTGACAGTGTCGACCATAATATACTAATAGGCAAGCNTTGAGTTTTATAATGTTTCATCTTTCAAGAGACACAAAAATTGATCATTCGAATTAAATGAATGGAAACACTTTTGTCTACTTGCCACTAGTCATTATTTTTACGACCGGTTTCAGGTTTTACCCCATTATTGAGTATAAAGCTAACTAATACATTTGATATCTGAAAAAGAGGTTATATAAGTAGTTTTTAAGTAAGCTGGAGAGAGCAAAAATTCAATGAATAAGGGTGCCAAGTATTAAATTCAACACGGGAGATTATAGAAATTACGAGGTTGTCAGAAAGTTGGGAGAATGTCGATAAAATGAATCAATTTTAGAAATGTAGAATGTACCAGTTTTTTAGTTCATCAAAGTAGGGCATCATTGCTAAAATGGCGTCCAAACTTAGTGATTACTATTATTATATTTTGAAACGAAATATTTTGTGACGAATTTTGACACAATGTAAAATGTTTAATATGTGAAGTACTGTAACAATGCAGTTTGAAGAACTGAATTATTGCAGTACTTCGTATTGTCAGCATTTCACACTGTCAACATCCGTCACAAAGTTAATTAATGTGGATGATGAACGCCATTTTGGCAATGATGCCAATATTTTGAAAAACTGGAAAGTTACAGCACACTCTGTCAAAATCCGTCACAAATACCCGTTTTCAGAAAATAATAATAGTAATAACTAGGGTTCGACGCCATTTCAGCAATGATGCCGCAAAATTTTTTCGAAGTCCAATAAAATTTTGGTTTCTGAAATAATTTCTGAACTATATAACAATTATGGAAAAACTGACGGGACCCACAGAAACATATATTCTTCAAATGAATAATCGAAGTATAATTTGTATATGTATATCTACCATCACTGTTATACCTTGAAAGTCCGAATTGGAAAATCTAGCGTAAAATGAATCTATCAAAAACACTTTTCCCACACCAGAACCAAAATACGGTCTCTCTGTGTGTTTCGCTAAGCAAGTTAGCATTATCAGAAGATGAAAACATTAGTCATCTTCTGATGATGCTAACTTGGTAAGCAAAACACGCATTAAAAGTCGGCACTTCAGTTTGAAAGTTTCCTGATTTCGAACAATATAAAAGTAATTCAAAAAAACATCAAAATTGGAGCTAGCTATACTAAAGATCGTAGTGTAATCATAGTTCAATAATTTGAAAAGCGAGAACTCCCCTCGAAGCTTATGAAAATTCTCCAGTGTTCCATCAATCAATTTGCTTTTTGTATACCACGAAAAGTAGAACTGTAACCTCTGGTATAGAATAAATCCAAAACAAGCATCGTTTCCAATCACCAGAAATGGAATGGAAATGTTTGAGAACAGTAATACTGAAGAAAAAAATTTAAATAAGAGGACCATGTACTCACCTCACCATCATCCTCTTCATCATCATCATCATTTTCTTGTTGTTCCTGTTTGACTTTACTTCTGGCACTGGAAAAAGCCTCCAGCTCATCTTTTGTCATGCTCTTTAGGAATTTTTCAAAGTCAAGAATATAGGCTTGCTTTTTCTTAACTAGTTCTGCCTCATAAACCTTCTTCTCCGCAGGAGTCAAAGTTTTCCAAACATTGGCTGCTGGTTCGCTTCCTTTATACTGGGTAACAAAATATTTGAATGGAGATCTGAAATAAGCACAAGCAGCGTGAGTTATCAGTTCATTATTTTACAAACAAGAACTTACATTGGAGGTTGTTCAGGTTCCTGTAATTTTTTAGTCTTTTTCTCGACTTTCTTTTCAGGAGGCACACTCTTGGTAGCCTTGCTGACTACCACCTTTTTTGTCGCGGCCTTTTTCTGAACTTTTGGTTCCTTTTTCGTTTTTTCTTCCTCAGATTTCAGTCTCTTTGGGGCAGACTTTTTCAATTCAAGTTGTCTTTCTTCTTCAGGTAGCCCTTCCAAATATGCAGCATAGTCAATTTTATACTGCTCATTTTGCTGTATAAAAATAAATATATGAGTTTCTCATTTCAGTTTGCAGATACATCCATGAATGATGTATAAGTTGCACATTGAAATTAAAAATGTTAGAGAACAAGAAAAATGCAAAGATTTTTTATAGTTTCGAGGAAATTCAAGAGTAATGACAGAAACTGGGTAATAAAGAGTTGCCCTATAATTATTCATTCACAATTTGCTTCCTTTTCTGTGAATAAGTATAATATTGAGGGTTATAGAAGCTTCTGGGTATATTTCACCGGACAGACATTCGTTGAAAGTTAATGGTTTTTAGAAAGTTGACATTATTTTCAAAAGTCTTTCGAAAAATATGGTATCATGAATTTGAGGTCTATTTTTACAGCATAGAATAATTTCTTAGAAACTGATCGGGCGTAGTGTATCATCCTCTAAATAGTAGTGATACACTGACGTTTTGAAAGTCATTGATAGTCAACCAGAAAATCCTCTGGAAGAAATTCAGAGAATTGGTTTCTTTGGAAATCTGGTTTCTTTAGAAATCTAGAGTTTGACCTTATATTGTTAACAGATTGGTGTAATGAAAATTATTTGGACGTTGATGTCTGAAATGCAAAACTATGACATTTCATTGCACTTTAGATAAATATTAATTTGTATACAATATAAATGGAGATACGTTAGAATCTGTAATATTTATTCATGATCTAGTTTTGTATGTCAAAAAAGGCTGTTATCTCTATTATGAGTACATAACAAATATATTTGATGAGATATATGCAGTGTTCCTATATGATTTATTCATTTCAATTTGTTACCTAACGTGATTTGAAATGTTAGCATTTTAATGACATTTTATAGGAAGTTATTGGGCGTCAGCCATTCATCGATCTTCTTTTAAGCTTCAACATTCCTCTTTTGTCACAATTTTATATGTAAATTTAGCCAGTGCATATTGAATTTAGATAAAAAATAAAGAACTCTGAATTTAAAAAAATATGATTCAAACCAACATCCTTGAACTTTGAGAGGGAATCAAGTGAACTATATTCATATCCCTGAATAACATATTTAGCCAAATGAAACAATATCTCTTACCTTTTCAAAGAGATCTTTGTAATGTTTCTTCTCTTCTTCACTGCAGTATTTCCACTGATTGGATACGAATACCAATCTATCTCTCACGGGAACCCCCTTGATCTCTTCGGTTTGCAGTAGTGTTCTAGCAAAGAGATTGTAAGAAGAGACAGGCGGTTTGGCTGGCTTTCCAGACATGCGTTCCTTCACAAGCTGTTCCTGCTTGGTGAGCAATGCTTTGTGCGAACTTTGAATGACACAATCGGGATTTTCTCTAATATAGGCTTTCATTTCTTCCTGTTGACAATAATTATTGATTAAGGTATGAGCAAGTTAAACAAACATTGGAGAAAACAAAAAGGGTTATCAGGAAAACCTTGACCATTGACATTTAATACAACATATGATGACATCTACTGAAAACACTTTTCCAACACCAGAACAAAAATATGGTCTATTGACGCGCGTTTCACTAACCAAGTTAGCGTCCTCAGAAAGTCATTATGACAAAATTTTTCTAATATGTTAGTGTTTTTATATGCTAATGGCCTACCTACTACCGGTTAGTATTACCTAACTAATACCTGTTATTGATCCTATGCTAAACTACCTATTTTTAATACCTCTATGTTATGTATTTTCTCTATGTTAGTGACTATCTCAAATATTTATCTGTTTTTTATTTAGAATTATTACGTATAAGACCAAACAAAGGGCTGTTTGAAATAGGACCTTTGTCGCTATTCATAGAACTCATTCCGCACTTTTCGATTTCCAAGCTTTCGAAGGCATCCAGAAACCTGTTGTCATGTACCGGTCTGAACAATTTTAAACATTTCTCATTCATTCTAATGGTCGTCTCAAACTATCAAGATATGACGACATATATTTCAACCTTTCTGTACTAATACATTTTTTATTGATGAACATATTTCTGGAAATTAACTAACAACCATTATCTACTGAATCCAGTGAAGAAAACTGAATTTTGAAAGTTCTTAGCATATTTTACAATTTTGATTCCTTCATAACCGAATGAAAAAAAAAAAGCTTTTTGTAAGCTGTCATTTTGTGTTTTGGTTATATCATGTATGTACATTATTGGGGATAATTATGAAAATTTCCCAAGATGCCAAAGTCAGAAATATATATTTTCTCAAATATTACACATCTGAGTACATATATCGAGTGAAATGGAAGAATGTGGTCTCTGAAGTCGCTTTTTGACTCTGAAATTGAAATTTAAGAAAATGATTTTGGAAGGTTTCAAAATATTTTGAAACTATTATCCACAAATCTTTTGTTTTGACTTACAGGGGTGAATAGGCAGATCCGAGAGAAACGGGTCTATTCAACCCACCACTGCAACCTGCAAGGGTTCATTATGACTGAAACCTATTTCAACTCGACCTAACAATAGGTCCAATTTCCTAATGAAGCTAAATAGTATATTTGATGGGTAAGCATTCAGGCCAAATAATGAAAGCCTGATTCAGTCCGCTTCATCAACTTTCAAACATTTCTTTCAACAGTTCAAGTCTCTTCAGACGACGACATGTAGTTCTATTAGACAACGTAGGACTTGTGATGCACTGTAAAGTCATCACTGTGATCAAACAGTTGCTTGGTAACATAAAAATGCTTTGGAATGGGCCAATATTGGTAGATTTGGCCACATAAGTCTAAATATCTTTTTGAAGTCAAACTATTCAGTGCAAAGTCTAAAGTGGTGTCAATGACAGGTTCTGGTCTGATGAAACTGCTTGAGGCGCCCTCCCTTGCGGAGGCAGCAGCTTCATTATTTTCCAGACCAGTGTGAGAGGAATCTAGAGCAGAGACAAAATCTGGAAAATCTTCCTTTTGAGGAAGGAGTTCTTTTAGACAGTTCACTATTAACTTTTACTTGCTCGGTGAAAGCCAAGCGCCTCCAGAGTCGCTTGGCTATCCGACAATATTTTTTTGTTTTATGTGTGAGGTTGGTTTTTGCCAATCTCTCTACGTATAAATCAATTGCATAGATGTCCGCATGAAATACGATTGAATAGGTTCCTAGTCAAATTCATATATCTGTGTTGAACATTGAAATAACATTTCACTGAATGGTTTACAAAACCACAACACTTGTTTCACTACACGAAAGATTCCTCAGCCATGTTCATATAAATTGATGATGAAATTTAATAGAATTTTACAATAGATGACCAATATTTTCAACAAAGGACCTGAATCGTGATAATCCTGCTCTCCCCAATTCTCTGAATAATACTTTGATATTTTATTCATACTTATGTGGAGTCTTCCTGTATGTTTTAAAATTTCACATTTACATTGTAACATGAAGTTATGTTAATAGCTTTTTCTCAAGTTTTCATGTATGTATGTCTTATTTTATGTTAATGTCTATTTGATGAGTGATCTTTCAGGTCAGCTGGCAAGAGTGGGACTCTGCCAAATGCTGAAAACCTGATCCGGTCCAAGACAGGGCAGACAATAAGTACATGCAGTATGAGTACTGAATTTTATTGTGAAGAGTAATCCACTCTAAGGTTACCAAGCCATGGAAATTTTTCTCAATATATTGACGACCTTATTGATGGTCAGTCTGCAACACAATGCGTGACTTGAGAAGAAGGTTTTCTTTGACACATTCAGAGTGACACTTTTCCATGGCTGCAAACGTAATAACTGCAGTCACCAGACAGGAGACGCTCTCCTGATCATTTCAAGTAACCAGGCCGGAATATACAGCTCGGGAATCGAATTAGTGGACCATCTTCTAGTACCCGAGGGTATTCTAACATCTCGCTACAGGGTAGTAGCTTTCAAGACTTAGTTCTAATTATCTACAGAGGTGTTTATAAAGAGACTTGAATGAAAAAAATATGTAAAATGCAACCCTCATATAAGATGTTTTTTTGTAAAGTCGAAGGTATGAATAAATAAAGAGAAAAAGTTCGAAAAACTTACTTCATACTTGAAATTCTCGGCTTCCGCATAGCTAATCCATTCCATTTTCTTATCATCAGGCATATTTTTCCACCTCTCCTTGCACACCTCCTTGAAAGATCCCTTATCTTCAACATTTTCCTTCTCAGATTCAGAGAGGAAGAAATACTGGAATGGTGGGAGTGGTCTCTTTGGGGCCTTAGGCTTCGGAGGAGGTTTCTCTTTTGGTGGTTTTGGACTTGGTTTTTCTTTAGGCAGTTTTGGTGATTTTGAAGATTTTGGAGAAGGCTTCTCTTTTACGGGTTTTGGCTTTGGTGGTTTATCAACTTTGGCCCTGGATGCTTTCGCCTGTTTCTCTTCTGGGTGCAAAAGACTGAGGAAAATGTACATTTTAAGTAGAGTAATCATTGGCAAAATATCTACGGAAAATTACATAATAAAATAAACCTCAAATAGATATGAAAATATCTGTAAGAGTAACTTACTAAAATTCTTTCAATTTTTGTTCATACTCTTCTTTATTCTTTTGTGCAAGTTTCTCGTATTTTTCTTTCTTCTCTGGTGGCAATATCTTGAATTCAGCGCTACAAATTTTAGCTAATTCCGTCTACAACAAAAAAGTAAGAAATCAGGAGTTTATCATTTCTACATGAATTTGGCTAATTATATTCAATAAAAAAACCATTAGCTGAGCAGATGTCAGATGAGTTAAATAATGGCGATGTTTAAACCTTTTAATCACAACTTCATAAGTATGAATAAAATAGTTTTTAATAGTTTGAATTAGAAATATTGGCAATGAATTACGTCAACAACAGAATTGTAACATACATTTCTTAAAAGAAGCTGGTATAATCACAAGATGATCTGAACTAAATCAGATACTATGAGGGTTAAAATATTCATAAAATCAAGTTTCAATCAGTCTAGAATCAGTGGCAGCTTAGAAATTTACAGCTTAGTTAGTTAACAGTGTCTGAAAAAAAGCAAGTGTGTGAAAAAATGGCAATCACTCGTGAAGGTTTTCATTAGATGATTTTTTAAGATTGAGAAAGAAGTAACTGGCTAAAACTGTATAGAATCGATGTGTTTATCTTTTGGTAATAAAGCACCATCAGGAAAGACAGTTTTCAGAATACTGTTGTTGTCATGTGTCCATCAGTGATCAATCCCGTGGAGGGACGCCAAACTTAGTTGGTTTATCAAAAAAATTGATGTCACAAGCAAAATTTTTTAATATCAGAATATGACATACTGTGATATAGAAATGTCCCTTCACATAGTACAGACTGCAATATATTCAATTATCTAAATGTAATAGTTCTGAAGTGTGCCAAAAGTAATTTTCTAGAAAAATACTATGATAAAAGAAATTCTTACTGCATCCATTCCCGGATTTTCAGCCTGAAGTGCTTCTCTCTTTTTAAGGTAGTAAATTAAATAAACACTGAGAGGCCTTCGAGGCATATCTGGATGTCTACTAGCTTTTGCCGATTTCTTTTTGGACTTAGGCATTGTGATCCACTCTTTGGCATCTACGAGCATTTCTCTCAATAGCCTATACTTTCGTATCTTTTTCTGTATGAAGGACCAAGTATTTTTGCAATCATCTACAGAGTAATTCTTGAAAGCCACCTAGAAAAATACAGTTCACAATGAATAATATATTTAACAACAACGAATAATATATTTGAAAATATTCATGACTCAAAGTAAATACTGAAAAAACAAAAGTCACGATTATGGTTTACTTCATATGAAGTAATTACAAATCATTATTGGGTATCTCAGGATTGTAAATGACAAAGTGTTGGTGATAAAAAACACAATATATCATAATTAACAAAACATTAAATTTCAAGGAACATTCCAACAACATCATCAAAATCAAGTTACACTTCATTGTGAGATTTCCAGTAGACAGTTCACAAAACAGCAACACGTGTTTCAGCGTACAAATATACACTTGATAAAGCGTTGATATGCTGACGAGAAAGTTAATATGCTTTTCATATACGCAAGACGTTTGAGAAATTCTATGATATTGAAACTGGTGGTCAGAAGATTATAATAGAAAGTTATGGCAAATTATAAATCGTGAAACAGGAAGGAAAAAAAGATAGTTCAGCCTACTGACATGTCAGTAAATGACCTATATCCATCTATAATAAATAATTTCAGACAAATATCCATATTACCAATATTTTCGAAAATCTTGGAGAAAAAATGTATAATGACTTAACATCCTATCTAAATACTCACAGTATACTTGTAGCAGAACAATATGGCTTTAGGAGAGGAGTCTCGACTGCCGATGCCATAATGTCTCTTACCAAATTTACTGAAGAAAGTTTTACGAAAAAGAAAAACTGTCTGGGTATATTCACGGATCTTACATGTGCCTTTGATTCAATCAATCATTCAACTTTGTTAAACAAAATGAGCTATCTATATTATCATCACTCTTTACTTTTGGATTATTGAAAAATAACGAATCCATTTTATAATTGTATGTATTCATTTATATGACTGAGGATTGTACTTCCTACATGTATTAGTTCATTTGAACAAGACGAGACTAGTATATTGACATGAGTTAAAAACTTACCGAGTCCCACTCCAACTCTTCTATCATCTTTGTGAAAGGTTTATAGTCATTCTCAGGAATGCATAACTCCATTCTGTTCATGAGTTCTTGCATATCTTCCTCAGGCCAAGAAGGAATGGCAGCCTTACGACCTAAAAACAAATAAATAAATTGGCTTTGATCAAGGTGGTGAAATAATATGCTTAAAAAATGTTCTGCTAGAAATATTAAGAAAAAACATTGAGAGAAATGAATTACGAGAAACAAAAGAGGGGAAAATAAAACAATTATTAGAAAAAATGATGATTTGGTTAAAAATCTTATTGAATAGTCCAAAATTATTTTATTTAGAAACTTTTTCTTCAACAATGAAAATATATTCAAATATAAAGTAATACAAATTATGAAATTATGAAACAACAACAACAAAAATTAATTGATGCTCCGAGGTGACTTATTGATTCCAGTGGCACATTTGCTTTTTCAGCTGCAGGAAAACCCGGAAAAACCTGCAGCACCACATCATCTAAAGATCTTGATCTGCCAATGTCCTCTCTTTCATAGAATAAAATATATGGTGTCTTCAAAGGCTCCAATAAATTCAAGATATCGCCAGAATATTTAGTGACATGACTATCGTCAAACTTAAACCAGTCCGTTTAATCTTTGACCAATGCCTTATGTACAATGTTGAAATTTGTATTTAGTGAGCGATGTAAAATATCACTTACATGGAACACTTTCACTCTCAATGGCAGACTCTGAAGTTTCAGAATAATACACTCTTCTTATCACCTCATCAACACTATTTTGGATAACATTACAAGATTGAGTACTCGATTTTGAAATCCGTTTTTTTTATCTGTTTTTCCGTTAACCAGCTGTCGTCGCACCCCTACGAACGACAACCCTCAGAAGTCGAAACTTGTGTGAGCTAAGGATTAACGAGGTCATACCATTACGACTTTGTGTCACGGAAGAGTTAAATCCACGCTTGTCACAATGACAGTACGTAAAGACATTCATACGCTTATTTGATTTAATCCGACATAGGAATATTGTTAATTCATGGTTAAAACTGTTAGCGGATTCATAAAAAAAATTACACCAAGTTCAATCAGTTGAATGTTCCAGTTCAGGCCTTAATTGAGGAAAATTCTCAGGAACCTAAGACTCTCATTGGATTTTTGAATATGTCACATTGTCAGCAATAAAACTGTAGTCTTCTTTCTTACTCTATCAATTGTGAAAGCAACAAATATATGTTCTATCCAAATTCAAAAATGAATTTTCATTACTGAAAATGTGATATCTGTCCAACTGCAGAAGCACGTTCATCTTTCAATGTTTTGTCATCAAGTATTACATATAAGATAAACAGAATTGGCCCAGAACGGATGCTTGTGGTAGATCAATACCATGGTTAAAGGCACAGAAACAATTCTACAAAAATTGCTATAAACGGTAGTAGAACTTCTTGATGGGTACTGTTATGATGACTTCCTGAAACGTTGAAGTCAGAAATGTTGCTTTTTAAAAAAGTTACACATTTTAAAATGAAAATAGAATGAAAGGGCAGAATAGAGTGTTGTTTGAAGACAGTCCTACATGACTCCCTGTATTCCAAATTAAATAATAGTCAATAATTATTTTTTGAGAAGTGAAAACTCTTTTTACATTGCAATATTATTTGATATATGGCTATATGCAAACACATAGTATAAATTCAACCTGGAGAGATACATATTGATTACTACCTTCAAAAAATGAGGATATCCAGCTGAGAGAGTCACCTCTCAGCTGGAGCTTTTGATGATAAAAGCTTTTGATGATTAACACAGTCAAATGCCTGACTTCAATCAAAATAGATCATCGCCAGGCACTCACCTGCATCAATACATCTGATTAACTTATTATGTAATAAAAAAATGACGGTTTTCATTGACTTTTCTGCACAAAATTAATGCTGAATTTTAGTCATTCTACTGTTACTGGAAAATAATTTTCCACTGGAGTTGGGTTATTTTTTGAAAATAGAAGTCACTTTCTCGATTTTCATCTTTTACTAGAAAAAAATTAATCAGATATGTTGAGTGACAGTTTTATTATCACTTAAAGAATTCCTTTCAATATTAATGTCATCCCTATCAATTGTGGAAGGCATTCAAAATGACAAAAATAAAGGTGGCACTCCTTAGCTTTTTGATAGCCATATAAATTTGACATGGCATTCCTTTCTATTTTGATTTAGTACCACTGCCAACACTTACATTCATAAACAATTATAATGTTGAGTTTGTTGAAAAATATACAATTTGGGAGTAAATTATAGGCTTAGTATGGGAAAAAAAGTAAGTGAAAAGTAAATGAAGGTTCATAGTATGCAATAATGAAAAAGTATCATTTTTAAGTATATTCTTGAAATATTCAATTTTTCAAATTTTGAGTGGCTATATTTTCGAAAGTGAACTGGTGTAACATGTATTGACTTTGTATTTGTGATCAGAAAACAAAAAAAAGTGAGTCTAATTTGAAGTTTTTCAAAAACTAATGCAAAAAGGGCTAGTTGGTCATAGTTAAATGGTACCGCAGTACCAAACGTTTTATCTGATACTGCAGCAGACATATCAGTAGTTTCCAATGAAAGTTACTGTGACTTCAAGATATAACTTACAGTACACACCAAACCACTCATCATGTCTGCCACAGTAGCAGAAAAAACGTTTGAAACTTAGATCTGCTTTACCACAGCCTACTAGCCTAAATTTTGTTCTTTTCAATCGTAACTCTGGCCATGACGCCTGTGTCTATAGGAAAAATAAAAATTTACCAAAAGATCAACAATCATACCTTTAGGACTCTCCACCTTCTTGTCCATTCTTTTCTCCAATTGCTTTAGTAGATCATTGTCATCCCAATCTGAACTGACATTATCAACATCTTGAATAGATATTGTGACAACATTTTCACTACCATCATTTTCGTTTTCATCCTTTATATCAATTATATTCACTTCATGCTTCATAACAGTCTTTTTATTGTTATTTAAAGTGCTTTCTAATTCCTCAAAAGTTAAGTGTATACTGTCATCATTTACTTTCTTCTTTTTTCTTTTAGGTGAATTAACTTTCTCCACCTCTTCTGCGACATTCTGCTCAGAATCATCAGTTGATTTCAAGGATACCTTTTTGGCTTTTTTTTTTCCTTTTTTGATAATGGGTGAATTTGATGGTGGTGTATTTATATCAGCAAACATAGCCTGCAAATTTTCCTCCACAATACTCTTGTTAGAACTTTGTTTTTCAGAAGACTCCCCATTTTCAAAACTGGCTAGTTGGCTAGGTTCTCCAATTTCCTCAGATTCCATGAGTTTCGACTCACTACTATTGATTGTTGCCTTCTCATTATCACTGATAACTTTCTTCTTCAGTTTCTTTGCTGGCAACACATCTTCTTCAGAACCAGTTACTTTTCTTTTCTTAGCCTTCGGTGTAACACTTCCATTTTCATTGGGTATCGCAGCAGATTTTTTTTTCGGTTTCTTTGGCGGTTCAGAACCCAAGTTTTCATCACCATCTACAATGAGCTTTTTACTCTTTTTGGAATTCATTTCCTGACTTCAGTCACGATATTCAATCCAACGTTTAATCACCAACTTTTTCTTCAACGTTAACGAAGACGTTATCTTGTTTTGCACATTAAATGAAGCTAAAATTTTGAAAACTGCTCTCAAATTAACAACACACTTGAAAGTTGTAAGAGGGAAACGTTCAAGTTCAATCACTACTTGGTGTTTAAATTTCTTATTTATGTACCTTACACTGGTATATCACTTCATTGCCATGATTCCATTTTAACTGCCAACTATTCTTATTTTATCGCATTTTACATTCAATTGTAGCTTGTTTGAAGGATTGGAAACCATCAAAACAAAATGGATTTGCGGCAGTTGCGCAGGGATCAGTGTTGCCAAATCATGACAGACACTCGATTGAGAATAAAGCACCTGGAGACAGCAACTGTATCTAATAGTAACAAAGTTGACTAACATGTTTTTATAATAACTGCAGAATAGAACTTTTTGTGAAGAGCAAAATCCTCACATGTTAACTTCACGTTTGGTACAATGTATACTACATTTATCTGAAATTCATTGGGATTTTTTTTTTCAAGTTCCCATTACATCAAATTGAAATATCTTCAATTAGGTTAGATTTCGTTTTGTTATCAATTATAACAATTGTAATGTGCTGACATTTAATGTGCCAAAGGGTAAAATGTTAAGCGGGGTGTTTGTGATTTTTTACGGTTATAATAATCTTTAATAAAACAAAATCTGACCTGGAACCTCACCAAAGTAAAACTATATTGATCTGATTTAATTGTATCCTAGAAAAATATCACATTCCGATTCACATCAATTGATATGATTTTTCAAGTTCCAGTTGCCACAATTGAATTTGAATTCATATAGCTTTTAGGATATGGGTTAGTTTTTTTTAATAATGATAGGGAACACGCGTTTGTTTCAGATTCATATTATTCCAGCTCCAACATGTTCATTATCTCCATCAGAGTTGGAAAAATTGCTACAAATTATGAAAACACTTCAATTTCTCCATAATACTGCATTCAAATTGCCAAATTAGTAGATCTAACGAAAAACATATACCGTCTGTTAGATCGAAAAATAAATCTTCTCTCGGTGTCACTTTTTCATAGAGAGTGCCTTCAAGTTGACAAAATTGAAATATTTCAGTCATATTTTGGCGTAAATTACTTCAGTTCGTTTGAAACATTCTATTTTCTTGTTCAAATAATTTTGTCAATGACATCACAACTGTCAGTTAAAATTAATTCAAAATTAACTTCAAAAGGTGTTTCAAAAGAATGAGAGGTGGAAGGGAGTACTATCATTAATTTTGCCGGGCAAACATAATACTATCAGTATATCTGTGATAATTTATATACATGAATGCTCCCCCGCGACGATTATGACAATGGAAAATTAAGCCACTCGATATTTTCATGTCATACATAAATAAATCTCTGTAGAGGTTATGTATTCGTATGTTGAGAATGGCGACATACTTTCAAAAGCAAACATGGCGTTTCATGATTGCCAACACTGATATTTAACGTATGATATCACGAAGATGTGTAATTACTTGAGGCCTTTTATCTCTCTCTTTCTAGGTTTTCTTGGCCTTTGCTTTCGTCCGGCGCATTTAGCCATAGAGGGCTATTCTCGTATCACCCGTCGTTCGCAACGTATGCGCAGGTAACATCACAGAGAACGAATCCTGAGAAAAGTTGTTGTCAATTATGAAACGGTTGAAATATGTACAATATGTAAATATGATTATGCTATCATTCCAAAATAGTAGGCACTAAATTCTCAGAAATGACTGACGTTTTTGCCCTAATATGTCCCTTGCAGTGGCATACGGAAATTATACTAAACAAATGAGGAGAAATGATGATAAAATATATAGAATCACAACCTTGACAACAATGTTTTCGTTTCAATGCAATAATATTTCTGAGAATTTAGTGCCTACTATTATGGAATTGTACTATACTTGACGGTATTCACGTGAAAATTGTTGCACTTTGTTCTTACTTCGGTCAAAATCAGGCGCTTTATGATTGGCAACACTGATTTTTGACACGTAATGTTTAGAAGAAGATGTGTTATTGCCTCAGAGTAACAAAAGACAATAGAGAGGCCTTTTCCATCTTCACATTGAAGGCAGCATAACTTTGTTTGTTTACGGAAGGTAAGTTGGACCATAAAACAGTGGCGGTCGGTTCAGTTGATAATCGGAGGGATAGTATATATTTATAAAATAAATCATTTCAGGTGAAAATGTATATTCTGTTCAAATAGTTCCTACAGGAAATCTGATTTATTATTAATGATTATGGAAATGAAGCCAGATTTTCTACCACCTACTAGATTTTATTTATGTATGGCTTTATAATATAGCGCGTGGTTTACTGGGTTAAAATTAAATTATTTCATATGAACTAATTCATAACAATGAAAAATGTTTATTTCAAAAGTAATGAACTTTACTTTATATAATCAGATGAAGAAATTTGTAATTCATTCTCAGATTCTATAAACAAGCGGTACGGTTTGTGAGGTTCGATATGAAAAATTTTCGGTTAGAAATCATGATTTCATTCAAAATTGGTATTTATGGGACTTTGTGAACCGACATTATGGAAGGGGATATTTTTGATGTTTTTAATGATCTTTTTTTGATCTTATTCTTATGAATGAAGTTTTTGAAACTAGGTTTATATTATTTCATTATTTGACATATCCCAACCAAAAAAAGTTTAAAAAATGACAACCGGCCATTTCTTATTGAATATTGTCTGTATGCAACGCGAGAGCCTCGTGCAAAGAAAATAAAGCCAAAACGGAAATCATATTCTTCGTGTGACGTAAGTTAGTTGTTAAGTGAGCAATAACAGATTTAACACCGGTTGCACAAGAATAACTATTTAGTATACAAACTGAACATTGAGCAGAAAGCTTTTTAATCTGTTGATCACAGAATGAATATGACTCATGGCACACATATGAAAAACATATTTTCCATTTTTGAAAATATAGTTTTTTTCATTTACATTAATGATTTTTCGTAATTATAGAATTCGTCAGCATGAATTATTGAAAAAAAGAACATAATGTCGGTCCACAAAAGGTATGGCAACTCTATATCTTATTATTACTCTGAAGTTATTACCGTGATAATTGAAGAACTTTAAATTTTAGGTGCAAAAGCCATTAACATAGAGAGAGAGAGACGTATAATAAAATGATTCAGTATTTTGAACAAAGCAATGTGTGATTGTATTTGAAGTATTTTAACTTCAAAGTAAAAGCTTTCAAAACAGCAATAGTTCTAGTATGCAAGTAGCAGTCTGATAGTTTATCATATTTTTTCATTATCAAACTAATTGCCAGGTGTCAAAAACGGTTATTTTGAAGTGTAATGTAACAACACTTCAATTTTCAATGGCTCTGATACTTCAAGACTGGAAGAGTCCAACCTGTTCCTCAGGACACTTCTTCACAGGACTGAAATAATGCTATTATATATTATCTACCACCATTATTTCAGAATCTGGTTATTAATGAAACCCAATGGAAAAACAACAACTAACCCAGCAGAAATTAATTTCGTTTGGTCGATTCGACCAACCGATATACCGGTTTCGGGGTGATTGCTCCATCTTCAGTACCGGGCATGGTCTCTTCAGAACGGTGTGAACCGTCTGAGTAATTTTTGTATTTTATGTATATGTATATATATATATAAGCAAGGTTATACCAGCTTTCAGTTATGATTATTATACGCATATTCTGGAAATTATTCTGGTTACCAGGAGTTTGACAAAAATACATCGTATTGAACACTTCCTGAATGCCACAGCAAAATAGCGGCAGAATATAATTGTTTGTTCACAGATGCATCAAAACAAATAAAAGGGGGATAGGAATACACATGTCTCAGATTGATTTCGCTTATTCAGTTCGGTTACACGCGCAAATGAATATTGGCGATGCGGAAATATTAACAATATATAAAGGAATAACAGCTCGTATAAATAAGGGCTCGAGAAGAACTTTATGTTCATTGAATCAAAAAAGCGTTGGACAGAATTCTAACAGCAGATAATAACGCAACTAGTAGTTATATCATTCTAACCATAAAAGAGTTAATATACATACATGGTTCTAGTTGATGAAAAATTGATATGTTGACTAGAATCGGCGCTTTGCTAAATATTCCATATTCAAGGATTCATACGGAATTTTAAGTGACATTAGAAAGTCCCTTCAATGCCACTGAAAATTCCAACAGTCAAGTCTCATACGTATGAAATATGTCAATATGAGTACATTTATTTCGCATAGGGGTTAACGATACACCAAACTGCAAATGTGGTAATCCAGAAACATTTAAAAAGTTTTTTTCAATGTCCAATTAAAACTATCCCTGGAAATAACTTCTATGCTCAACTCAACAATTAAGAAGTCTTAATATCAGTAAAATTCAGCCTTTATGTGATTTAATGATTTATATTCAATTATAATTAACTTTGTTTCTACCCTCTGTAGGTCAATATACTATCAGCAATAGATAAATGCACACATTACGCAACAGTAGCAGCAGAATTTCACGTGGAAACTTGTGTCTACCAACAACATATAGATGTTGCACACTGAAAGACGCCCTGTATTTCAGGACGAAGCTGTTATTGCAATTATTGCATAACGGGAGTAATGCAATAGAAGTTGACTGGTCTACGCGCCTTAACAGGATGCAAAAACCAAAAAAGCGAAGAAGAAGCAAAGAGAAGAAGAAGTCAATAAATAAGGAATTCAAATTGAATAAGATATTTATCTCGTGAAATATCTTATCTTCAAGTAGCGATAGCATTTGTATCTTAAATTAAAAGAAAACACTTTGGAGAAAAAAAAACTTCAAAATTCAAATATGCTGAGGAAATTCTGCATTACTAGGTTATCAGTATTTTTTTTATATCTAATATGTTTCATGTCTTATAGTGATGCAGCGGCTTCTGACATACAATTAGACGCTAAGGCACAATCTACTCATAGACTAGATAGCTTGAATTTACTGTCTTATACACTTCTACTCATTTTAACTGTACTCACTATATGGCTCTTCAAACATCGTAGAGTAAGCTTTTTACATGAAACTGGTCTCGCTGTTATATATGGTATGTTCAGAAGAATTGTGTGAATACAGACTCTGTACATGTTTCTTTTTAGGTCTCATAGTTGGCGCAATAATACGATATTCAGGTACTACAACACAAGTATTAAATATGCAGGTTAATATCAATGACCCGTCTCAATATAACTCTTCAATTCCTCCTGATACATTATCTCTACACTTTCCAATCAAGGAGCACACACAGACAACTAACAAAACCTTTCAATATGTATTTAGAGAAGAAATTGTGGATCTCCAAGAAAATGAAATTGATCTCAAGGCAACATTCGACCCTGAAATTTTTTTCAATATTATTTTGCCACCAATTATCTTTCATGCTGGATATTCTTTGAAAAGGGTATGTATAAAATAATTGAATTACTCACAGAATATTCTGGAGTTTCATAACTCAATTAGAATATTGTTTGCATTTGTCAGATTTTTTTCAGAGAAATCATGAATCTTTATGGCAGCGTGTTATAAGATTATTAAAGTTATGTTCTCAAATTTACTTCAATATCAGGGATGTAAGACCAATAAAATTGTCTGCTAAGACTTTTGTCGTTCTTTCAGTCATTTAAATGGAAGAAAAATGTTATATTTCATTAAAAGTTAGTAAAAGAAATTATAGGTTGCAAATTAATACTACATATTATACTAGTGATCATTATTTTTGTTTCCTTTCCTGTTTAGAAAACTTTTTTCTGATGAAAATGATAAATCCTGTTTTTCAATGGAGATATCCAATTTCTTGTTAACTTGATAAAAATGGGAGAAAGTTCTTAATTGTTCCATCCTTGTTATCAGGTAAACCAACAAAATCTTTAGTGAAAAAGGTAAAAGTACCAAAAAGAAGGAAATATTCAAAATATACTTTTGTATATGTGCACTTGGGACACAATTGTTTCATTCAAGAGCACGGATACCCCCCCATTACAATGCCATGTGTGGGATAGACAGAAAACCCATACCTTGCGTGTCCAAAATCAATACAGATACCTACCCAGGACAATCTGTTGCAAAGCAAAGCCGAGCACCACTGGCGAAACCTATGTCAGTTCAAAACAGCACTATCTGATGTCGGATCAAATAATCTTTGTTTTTGGTCTCTGGTTTAATCTAGTTGCCTTACAGCTGAAACTACAGAGAGACAAAAAGTGATTTCACATTTAATAGTTGTCCAAAATCTTGAATAAGCAAGCTTTGAATTGTCTGTTGATCCCATAGATGGTGTCTTCATGAGAAGAAATGTCCATGCAAACTTCTACTCTTTGTTCTTTAAGGACAATATAATCCAATAATGCAACATGGTTCATCCTAGTACTATTGATGAACTATGCATCATCACTATGCGAAACAATGCATCACAAATGATTTGTTTTAGGGTTTTGATTTTATCTATTCGAGATTATGTTCAAAAGATTATTCGTACTGTAAAAATTCTAAATGAAAAATGTAATTTCTCTTTTTCAAAAACTGTTGCAATCCCAATCAAAATCAAAATAATTTATTCTCGCCCGCTACATAGCAGCCATCCTTAGGATAGATGTATACGTCAATTACTGTTACATTGGACAAAATATAATAAAATGTTACAAACACTAATAGTACTAAAGAACAGACTAACATGTGTAACTCTCAGACAACAGTTAATTCAAAATCATCATTCAGGAATTCACTGATGGAGTAGTAGGCTTTTGCACACAGAAATGTTTTTAATTCTTATTTAAATTTTTTATGGTCCAGTTATTTGAGATGTTGTGGAAGTTTATTAAATATCCTTATACCTGTGTAGTCTGGAGATCTTTCAAATTATGCTTTGCAACTGAAAGTGCATCCGCGTTTTTTGTAGGATATGAATGGTAATCCGAGTTTTTTGTGAAATTATTAATATGTTGCTTTACATATATTGATAATTTATATAGATAAATACAGGGAAATGTTAGAATAATGTATTTTGAAAAAGTGGCTTTACAGCTGTTTCTATTTTTTATATCAAAAATGAGACGGATAATTCGCTTTTGACATATGAACGCTCTTCCAGAATGTCAAATGGAAGTAAATCAATGCATAGTAAGTATCAATAAGAGCCATCTGATTCACCTTAGACTTCAGTTTTAAAATTGCATAGAATCCTGAGCTTAATTTCATGCAAACATGCTGCAGTTGGTCACTCCATGTTAAATACTGATCTAGATAGGCCCCTAAAAATGTTGTATTGGTACTAGTTGATACAACATTAGTAGTTAGGTTATTGTGTGTTATATACCAACACCAAGTTCTCACAAAACTACCAACTGCCCGAGGGGACTTGGGGTGATAATTCCCATATCCCGTTTTCAATGAAATCATTTTTCTAGCATTAATAAATTTTCACACTCGTAGAAACAAAATCTCGGAAAGTATTCTTGGGTAATTCTTGTACGATTTGTTATGAAAAATTATGACTGCCCAAAGTGACTGTGGAAGTTTTAATTTCAACCATCTCAACAAAAAATTTTTTTTCTCGTGAAAAAAATATTCTGCCATCAACATATTTTCACACCAAGTGAATTTAGTTCATTTTCCACTGAAAAATTTCGACTACCGTGGTAGCAATTCCCACCCCCATAATGGGAAATCAATGTTTCCAATGAAATAATTTTTCCAGCATCACAAGTGCTCACAGAAAATCCTTGGGTGAATCGTGAACGATATTAAATAAAAAATCATGACTGCCCAATGGTACTAAGGTGTCGATTTCAATCCAGTTGACAATTAAATATATGTACATTTCAGGTGATAAAAAATATTAATGAACTCATCTGGTTGATAATGTAAAGCTCTATTTTTTGTATAAACGGTTTGCATTCAACGTCTCCCAACTGTATTGAAGGAATTATAAAAATATCACACGAACTCGCAAACGTGACTGTAAAATTTTCGGTACATATATATTTTAATTCTTGTAATAATCCGGGACAGAAGGTATCCAAAAAGACACCTTAAGGTGAGATGTCCACTCCACTTGACAGTTTACAAAACCGCTACACGTGTTTCGCTATACAATAGCATCTTCAGGAGTCACACTACTGACTAAACAAATTCTGTATCATGCTTTTGCAGTAATTTGAATCCCAATGCCTATTACTGACACATTTTTCCCTGATAAATTCATTACATAAAATTTACCTTCCTAGGAACAACTCATTTAACTGCAGAATGATAAATACATGTTTTACCTGAGACCTTATTTTATCTACTTTTAAGATCTATCCTAATTACCAATTACCTCTTTGCAACCCAAATTCAATAAAGGGGAACAGTTCGAATGTAACATATTAAAAAAAAACACTTTAATGTAAGATTTCTACCTGACAGTTTTAAAAACCGCGACATTCATTTCAAAACTTGAGTGTCAGGTTTGTATTATTTCACATTATTGTCACATAGAACCGACGTTTAGATTATGAGAATCAAGTTAAAAATACGTATAATTATTTAATTTTTGAAAGCGGTGATGATTTATGGGCATCATTTTTTATATCAAATAATACAAGAATTACCTGAATATATTCTGTTAGAAATGAGCGATGCTAAAAATAATACTTCATTGCAAACTTTGATTTTAAGTTGAGGGGTTAGGAATTGCCACCCCAAGTCCCCTCGGACAGTCAAAATTTTTCAATGAAAAATAAACTTGATTCACTTATTGATACTCTATGGAAATTTGGTGATGATAGAACCTCAATTTCTCATAGATAATTATTTGTTTGTTGAGAGAGTTGAAATCAACACTCCCTAGTCTCCTCGGTCAGTTATAATTTTCCATTTCAAATTATACACAATTTACCTAAATATATTTTATGAGAATATAGTGATACTAGAAAAATTATTTTATTGGAAACTTTGATTGTGGAGGTGGGAATTGTCAACCCTAAGTACCCACAAACAATAAAAATTAGAGATGCTCCGCATAGTCGGTCAGTCGGTAGCCAAGCGGTTCGGCGTGGATGATTTGTTCACTCACCCGAATTGACTGCCGTGTTGGTCGGTGGTTCAAGCCCTAGTCTGAACTATCGATCTTCACGTGCTACCGTCCAACCCGTGTTAGGAATCACACGTTAAAAGGTAAGACCTCGTTAATCCTTAGCTCGCACAAGTTTCGACTTCTGAGGGTTGTCGTACGTAGGGGTGCGACAGCTGGTTAACGGAAAAACAGGTTTGGCATATGCGGTGAATTGTCGGTGAAGTCAGTCAAATCCTGAATATCCTGCTGGTTAAAGCTGTCCTGCACTAACAAGGAGTAGTACTATAAAACCAGTCTAAAGGTATCTCACTCGATTGGTTGTGAAGAAGACCTGCCGCTGACTGCCGACAAGCATCACCAAGAATTCTGTCTGTGAGGAAAGTGTACAAATGTTTGTTGGATGTAATTCAATATCCGTCGTTGGTTATTTTCGGCAGGCATTTCTCAAAATCTACTTAATATTATTGGAGTTTTTTCCCAACACCAAATCGTTATTTTTAACACCTCGACNCAGGCATTGGTTTTCTCCAAAAAGATGAATGTCTCCGAATAATGTCAGGTCAGACAATTCCGCTTCCTGCTTCGATAAGTTTGATGGGGGTTAAAATAGACACCAATATGTCTTGGCACAATCATGTCGCTGGAATTGCAAAGGCTTCTTCTCTGAAGATTGGAACATTGCTCTGAACCAGAAAACGGTACACACCTCAGCAACTTTTGATGCTTTATAAAGCTCAGATTAGACATTTTTTGGATTATTGTTCTCATGTATGGAGCTCCGCCCGCAAGTATTCCCTGAAGCTGCTGGATTCTATCCAGCCATCTGCCTGATTGGAGACACGAACATCACTTGCAACCTTGATAGTCTGAAACATCGAAGAAAGGATGGAGATTTGTCTCTCTTTTATAGATACTTTCACCGCAAGTGTCAAGTGACACTGTTTAAGAACTCTTCCATTTGTAGAACGTTTTTCCAAAATAGTTTAGTTTCCAGCGATTCAAATCCAACATGAAGAATCGCTAGTTTCCCACAGGCACCGATCTTAGAGAGCCTTAAGGATTTTCCTGTAGTGCTTGTCTTTTGTACTTAAAAAAAAGGTCAACGGTTCGCCACCATCTCAGATGGCATTATCAATACTTGTTACTGCTCCTGGTTTCAGAAGAGTAACTCACGAAGAAAGAGGAATGATTTTTTTTTATTTTTTCTTGAAAGTTTGAGTAGTAGTTACATCAAAGAATTCAAGAACAACATATCAAAACCTAAATTCATTTTTAACAATATTTTACTGTATTGGTGAATTTGTTTCAAGTAATGAAATTGTCGAGAGGCAATGCTATGGGAATCAGTGGTTTATATAGGGAGGGGTTTGATCTCCCCGAAATTATATAAGGAACGTTAATATTCTCTGACTGCATTACATACAAAATGAATTAGAGTATTTGAAATACATTTTATGATTTAGGTCTTATAAAGTAAATAATTCATTTGAGTAGGCAATATAAAAACTTCACAATTAATGTATACGTAATATACATGTATAAGTAATATATACGCCACTGGGTGTAATTCAAGGCAATATTTCAATTTTGGGTACATTTTCTATTGCATGTACACTGATGTTTTAATGTTTTTAGAAAATCTAGGATAAAATCCAGTGTGACTAACCTAGTTACTTGAAAACCAGCATTACCTCTCGATTATTGGCATCAAGTAAAAACTAACATTTTCTGTTAATATTTCAGAAATATTTCTTTCGTAATTTGGGTGCAATACTAACCTTCGCTATAATTGGCACGACGGTATCCTCCTTTGCTGTGGGGGCACTAATGTATGGCTGTGTCCAGATGATGCCTGCAAAATTGGCCACTAGTTTCACATTCTTGGACACACTTTATTTCGGAGCTCTAATATCCTCTACTGACCCACTGACAATCCTTGCTATTTTTAATGACTTGAACGTAGATGTTAACCTTTATGCCTTAGTATTTGGTGAAAGTGTCCTGAATGATGCTGTTGCTATTGTTCTCAGCGGGTAAGTGTTCATTTTTAACAGTTTCAACATGTTTCAAAATTATTTTCTTATTATCAAAAAAAGTGTTATGTTACATTCCTGCAGAGATTATACTTCTTATTATATGTCTCTAGTAATGTCTTGTGTTTATACTGCATGCCAATGTCAGTTTGTATGCCGCAGTTTATACAAAACTAACTATGAGTACTTTTGAGTACAGTTCGACTCTTAGGAATTTTACGTGGCAAACCATCTTGCATTAAATACGAGTAAGTTTCCTTATATTAGTTAATAAGAAAATAAGAATACTAATGAAATACATTAATAATATCTCACTAAAGTAAGAGTAATAATCAGATTGTTGATAGAGTTGTTGAAGACCTGTCTCCAGAAAATAGTTGTTAACAACTCAAAATTAAGAACTATGAAAGTGCTATGAAGACCTGGAATGAAACAGGCAACATGAAAAGTCATTAATAATAAATAATGTTTTGCTGTTAGACAAATCTCTGTTGGATGACTTGAGCTACCAACTTTGATATGGAAAACCACATAATGAGATACTACTAGTACTAGAAGAAAATTTCAAATAGTACTATTCTTATGGAAGGTGGAACGGAAAGAGGCCCCACTTCAACATGGTTGAAAAAAAATTTGTACAGGAGTACCACAGAAGAAAATAAATATAAAAATGAACAAATAATATGATGGATGTAGCCATTACTACGTGGTAGAAAATCATGAAAAATGAGAAATGAAACTTTCTATGTTTTTTACCACTTTTATTTGTAACTAACGTTACCGCAGTTTCGTCCTATAAGGACATATTCAAACTTATACATTAAACTAAAAATGATTGATTACATTAGCTCATATATAACACCAGTGTAGGTAATAACAGAGGTACTTAATTTAATTGAGTACCCGAATTTTGTTTACCTGTGACAATGTGGGTAAGCTAATTTGAAAACTGGTGAGTAAACTACATCGATCTGATCATTTAACAGGTTGCACCCGCAATTTTTATGCTTATGAATTTCCAAGGATTCCAAATAATTGAGTTTGCAACCCTTCCATGCATAGTGCAAAATTTCCGTATCATTTAGATTCACGAACTTATGGTTGCATCCCAAGGAATGGTTTGAAAAGTCGAATAAATTTTACATAGTCTGAAGGACATTTCATGTTCAGCATACCGTTTTGAGAAATTTCGACCACATTTTCCCACATAAACACTACTACACTCCGGACACTTAAGCTTATAAACTCCAGTGCCAAAGATAAAGTGGACCAGTTGGAGAAATCTGGCTATTCAACCTCGGCTAATATCATAATGGCCTTTTTGGGATGGAAGCAACAGTTATTGTATTCACATTTAATATTTAATAATATTTAATAGATATAGTACACATAGCTATTTACACCCTAATTAATGATTTCAGTAGATCATCTACAAATCTCATACACAAAATGAGAATAAGTTAGATTTGTCGAAAATAAATTTAACAGAAAAAAAAGTTCTAGTATGTGATAAAGATGCTGAGAACAAGAATGCAGCTGTAAAAACTTTTCTGAAATCTGAAGGAACATATATGCAATTAGCAGCTCTTTATTTCAGTCAGTAAAATGAAATAGCTGGAAGAAAAAACAGGTTCCTAACTTACCTAACAGGTAAATAACAAGATGAATGTTTATCGGTGCTGGTTTTTGTGACAACGTAGTAACACAAAAATAATGAGTAAGGAGAAAAGAAAAACATTTGTAAATCATATCGAACTTTTTTCTTATAATGTTTTCCAGATTGGTCCTGAAGAGCCCTAAGGCAAGATTCTAATATTTTTTTGTATCATGATGGAGTAGTAGAAAGTCAAAAACTTAATTTCCAAAAAATTAATCACTTCTGAAAATATAACTTTTTCAATTTAAACTAAAACATATTATTCAGTTTGCAGAAGAAACACTTTCAAGAAAAGAATGATAAGAACAGTTAAAAAATTTTAAATAACATTGTTGATCAGAAAAATTCAGATTTTTGAATGGTAGCTCAAATTTTTTCACAGAAATGGGGATCGGACTATAGTGAGGTTGAAAATAGTCAGTATTTCGGGTTTTCTTCACCGTTGTTGAAAGAGAAGGAATAATATTTGTTCAGTATGGCACAATGAAATGAATTCAGGCATGGGATTCAGAAGGAATAATTATGATCAGTTATCTGAATATTCTGCTGATTTTTCTAATTTTCCTAAAATACGATAGTGATAGAAGAAACGGCTGAACTGTTGATCACCATCAAAATGACATGTATGAGAAACATTGAAATTATTTTGATGCACAAGTCATAAAAGACGAAAATTGAATGTGTTTCATAACCTTCTATAAGAACTAAGCAGATAGAAACAAAATACAATTACGTCACAAATTTGAAGCAAACAAATAAAATCTGCTAGCAATATTGCCCAACAAATTATATATCAGCTTAGTTTAACGTTGACACCAAACAAATTATTATGAATTGAAATTGAGATGAATAATAAAAAATAAAAGTAAACTGTGGCAGGAATATTGAATTATTTATAAAAAAATCCTGAAAAAGACTAATTTTGAGAACATGTTGCAAAAAAAGTGAAGCTTGCTAGTAGACTATAGCCTATTAGAGGAAAAGTAGTATTGTGTAACTCTTGTAATTTCAAATAACTGTCTGCAGTATTTTGTCTCGAGGAATATTTTTCAAATTTGAGTACTTGTCGTAGTTTCACTACACTCACTGAATTTTAATTTTTAGGTCAATACAGAACTATGAAAAACGTTACCAATCTGGCACAGGAGGTTTTGAAACGAAAGCCTTTTTCAAGGCAGTAGGAGACTTCTTTGGAATTTTCATGCTATCATTACTCATCGGAGCTGTAATGGGTTGTGTTACAGCATTGATATCCTTTTCATTTTATTGTTCCACTGTTCTTCTATATATGTACGTTTTTAAGAAAATACTTCGAAGTTTCACCATGCTAGGGATCGCACGTTGAAAGGTAATACCTCGTTAATCCTTAGTCCTTCGTAGGGGTGCGACAGCTGGTTAACAGAAAAACAGATTGAAACAGATTTTTTTAACAATTTGCAGTTTAAAACAATATTCGAAAATTTTTAAGTAGGTCTTGACAAACAAAATGCATGCTATGGTAGTGTCATTCATCTCTCCCAACTACCTACACATACGAGAACCAACAACTGATGGACCAACCTGAGTGGAGACTAGAAACGCAAAATACCTTCAGAGAAGAGACACACAGCAGAATCAAATTAAGGGTGATAATAATCAACATAGACATTTTACTAGGTTGTTGGTAAACTTGATCATGGTAAAATGAACTAACTTGGTGTTAACCTTCTGAAATAACATCGTGATAATTTCCCAACTGCAATAAATAAGTTTGAAATTACTTCAATTTGTCGTTATAAATAATGGCGCCTGTTCTGAACAGTTATCAAAGACAATTTATTATTATTGGTTTTGCTGGTAACCCAATATATCTGATATATTTAAATATTATGAAATATTTTTCTTCACACGTTCTAGGTGTATTTTCTGTCTGCATGTCTGTCTATATGTCTGGATGATCAGGCCTGTTATGGTCAAAAACTGGATATTTTTAAAATATCGCGTGCTGTGTGGGTAATGGATATTATTATTTATGTCTAAAATTATTTACATCCATATCTCAGTATGATTTTACTATTTCTATAATCTTATAGTATTTTATATTTTTCCTTAATGACAAATTACATGACAAAATTTACTAGAGTCCGCGACTTCCCCCTTCTAGAGTCTGCTTTATTTGTGTTGATGTCGTATAGCACTTTTTTGATTGCTGAAGCATCAGAACTTACAGGTAAATATTAGTGTTTCGATGTATATTCAATTCTCTACAATCTTTGTAATCTTCTAGGTGTGGTAGCAGTTCTATTTTGTGGTATTTGTCAGGCTCACTACACCTACAACAACTTGTCTGATGATTCAAGAATTAGAACGAAACAAATGTTCGAGCTGCTCAATTTCTTGGCTGAAAATTTCATATTTTCTTATATAGGTGTTTCAATGTTTACATTCCCAAAGCATCATTTTGATCCACTATTCATATTTACAGGATTTGTATCCTTTTTCAAAAATATAGAAACAAGTAATTCAAAGGGTTATATGTAATTTTTCCTTAATGTTTCATCAGATTTGTGCAGCGATTGGAAGAGCCGCAAATATCTATCCACTATCTTTTCTATTGAATTTAGGAAGGAAGCCAAAAATACCATCGAATTTTCAGCATATGCTGTTTTTTGCAGGTTGGTAAGCAAAGTTCAGTACACTGATTCTCTACAATATAAAAAAAACATTTGTACACAATACATTGAAATTCCATCGTAATAGAGTAAAACAACAATATATAGTTTCTATTAAAAACATCCATCACACACCAGAAGCGTACGTCTCAGCGTATTTTTTTCAATAGTTGTCCAGTTTGATTACTGGGGTGTAAAAATAATCCTGTTCTGAGGGTTACTTGTTTTTGGGAAGGCCCATACAAAAAACAAAAAATTTGTTGATAGTGACCCAGGAAATTATTTTTCATTGTCTTCTTAATTTTCATTTGTGATGCAGTTAGAAAATATTAATACCACTAATCAGCAGGAAGAAACACATAAATAAAATGCTGCCAACCCACAAAATACAAAAATTCGCAAAAACTGTTTCAATGAGAAAATAATTGGCCACACGAGAGATAAAAAGTAGTTTGTTTTTCTCAATGGGAAAACGAATTTAATATTAGCAAACCTATTATTGTCATAGGGACATGATTTTATTTGTGACTATGTTAACAAAAGTAGTTAGAAATATTGTTCTTTTCTAATTCGGGAACTTGGTAAAAAAAGTACTATGATGATTTTCAATAATATTTTGCCGATTCTCTATGAGATACTGTTTCGTCGCGGTAAAGCGCCTGATAATGGATTGTGACTTCAAAACGTCACCTCTCAACTATACTAAGTCTCTTGAGCAGGCGAGGATCACTTTAGAATAAAATGAAGTTCAAAGAATTAACTAGAGCCTTCAAATGTGCTGTATCAGGTGACAACAAAATAATTATACATGGCGCAATTCGGAAATAACGTATTATTTATTAAAACTGATATTTCTATAGATAAAATAACTGAAAAACTATTCCAGTTCAACCGGAAATGAACCCAAATAAAGTCTTGTAAATGATACCTTGTATTTTTTTTGTCCATTTGATGGAATATAAAATTTTCATTTCAACGATGTAACAGAAGTGACCATAAATAACTTTTAAAAATAGCCTAAGAGTATTTTCTTCAAATTAAGTATGGCGGTACTATGACGACATCTATGGAAATATTATCAAACAACTTGATGTAGTGAGATGTTTACTCAGTTTGTAAGGAAAAAAAACAAACATTTTAATTTTTCACCAATTCACGTGTTTTTTTTACTGTCATTTTTACCTAATTTATTTCGGAAATCTCAATGGAATTTAGTACTTTTTCAAATTTAACAAAAAAAAAATGACAAGTCACTAGGCGATTTTTTATGTCAATGAAAAAGTGGAAAGTTTCGAAACTTCATACTTCATCTTGGCTAATTATAAAGTAGTTATTGTGGAAAATATGAAAGTGCCAAAAATAAAGGTGCAAGTGTTTTTCTTTTCATCTTTTGTTTTTTCACAATCTTGACGCATTAAATAAAATAAAGCGTATGAAACTTTTTCAAGTAGTAACTCAATTTTTTCACTGCATAGTATCTTTGACACGTGTTTATAGTAAGAGAGGTACGCTTTAATGTTGAAAACGCCATTTGCTAATAAGATTTTCGAGATAAAAGAAGTTGAATATGGCATACTATAAAAATGAATAAAAAGTACATAAGTAGGTAGGCTCGATGGCTAGGTGGATGGTCGAGGTGAAGCCAAGACGTACTGAGAATTTTTTAGAGAGCTTTACTTATATTATCTACGAATTATTTGAATTATGTCTTCAAGTGCACATATGATAGATAGATAGATAGACTTTATTGGCTATTTCACACAGTGGTTTACAGCACGTCACATAGTACAAAAAATATTGAGAGACAATATGTAAAAATGTAAAAACAATCAGGTCATTCACAAAAACTTTTAGTGCTATTTGGTTTGCTGATCTCGTGTCGTATTTGTGAAGATCTGACGAAACAGTATAGTTTCCTTTGTTTGAGTGTATTTCACAAAGGGTTTGTTATGTAAATTCATGGTAATGTCATTATTTTCATGTCAGTAAAGAGGGGACGACAGTGTTCTCTCAGTCCGACTTCAGCCAGAAGATGAATAGCTTTCTTCTGTGATCTGAAGATGTTTAGCGCCTTGCTGGAATTTCCCCATAGAATGGTTCCATAGTTAATACGCGAGTGAAACAAAGTGAAATATATTTGCCTGAGTCATTCGGGACCTACAACATATCTCAATCTTCTTAAGAGAAATATTGTAGTGGAAAGCTCGCTGAGAGTGTCATCAATTGTAATTCCAAGAAGTTTACAGTGTTCTCCTGATTTGTATTTATTGTTACTGGATATAATCCGTTATTGCCTTTTTTTCACCATTTAGTTGTAAGGAGTTTGCAGGAAACCAATTTCTAGCATGGTCAGTCGAATTGTCGGCAAGAATTTTGAGGCTATAAAAATCTGACGAACTATTGATAAGTGACGTATCGTCAGCGAAAAGAATGGTGGCATGACATATAATATACATTTTTTTAGAGTAAAAGAAAAATCACCTCATCCATCACATTTTCAGGACTGAGAGGAGCCATGTCTTTTGCTTTGGCAATACGTAATACTCTATCAGAAGCACGTCAAGCTATGTTGACAACAACATCTTTAATTGTGATAATAACAGTAATTATTCAAGGAGGAGCAACTATGAATTTGTTGAACTGGTTCCAAATTCCGTAAGTACAGGAGAAATAATTTCAATTATTCATCATTTCCATATCAAAATAGTTTCTCAAGTCTAAGTAATTAATGGCGATGACGTCTCCCCTTAAGAAACGTTATACAAAACACACTGTTCAAAATCGGCTTGAAGAAGGATAGGAGATATTCTACAGAGTTACTCTACGAATAAAGTGGTTTGTTCGAAGTCAGAAAATTATACGCTTATCAATGTTTATTATGGATTTGTAGTAACCCCACTAACATCATTACACATAAATATAATACGCAAATTACCTCCAACCAAACAATTACACTACCACACTGTAGTTTGAGTCATAACCAGAAATTTGTAACTTATTTTGGCCCGAAATTATACAATAAGCTGCCACTCCATATAAAGAATATTAATAATTACTGTAAATTAAAGAAGGAACCGAAAGTTTTCATAAGAAATCATTATGATCAATTGCAGGATATCTTTGAAAATGTTTGAGCTAAATAACCTGCTCTCTCTCTCTCTCTTCTTATTACCTCCCTCTAGCCATAATTCTCCAATAATTGCAGTTTCAAACCTAGTAAGGTAGACAGTAATATATAACCAAACGACGTATTTTAAAAAAATGTGTTTAAAATCTGTTTTTCCGTTAACCAGCTGTCGCACCCCCTACGAACGACAACCTTCAGAAGTCGAAACTTGTGCAAGCTAAGGATTAATGAGGTCTTACCTTTTAACGTGTGATTCCTAACACGGGTTGGACGATAGCAAGTGAAAATCATTAATGACAATTTGAATTGTAAATCGCAGGGAAATCAAATCATGTAACTGAATGATTGAATGACTTACTTTGCAACAGATAGCTTCAGGGAGTTTATCTTTAGTATTGGTTGATTGAGTCTTGTATCGATCCCATAGATGGCGTTTACATAAGGGGAGATGTTATCACTGTTAATTACTCAGGTTTGCTCTCTAAGGATATATGAGCCCAACATTGCATTTGTGGTTCAGTCTAGCATCACAGCCCTGTTGTGACCTTGGCTGGTCACAACAGGGCTGTCTGTTGTTGGATTATGAATGCGTTTTTTTTTAGCTCTGGTTTCAATCAATATAATTCTTAATTCATATATTTTAGCTGATCCCACTTTTGCTATCTTGGAAACGGTAAGACCTACAAGGTCGGTTAAACTAGACAAAAGTTTCCTATTTTGGGGAACTAGGGTAATCCCTTTTCAGGTAAAGAATGTCAGTGGTTGTTTTAGAAATATTCGCCAAAAACTAGAATTGTCGAATTTCGTTTTTTGGCTCTACCGCCTCCATATGCTTTTCATATAGGCGACATGTTTAAGAAATACTACTTGATCTCTACACTTGTATGAGGCCATCCAAAAAATATTTTCATCGCATCGAGAGGAGTTTACAGAATCAGAGTTCAATTGAAAAACCCTCCAGTAAGAGTTGTTCAGTAACTAGAAGAGGTGGCGATAGTAAAATTGGCATTTTGGGTAAGTTCAGAAGACATTTTCAAATTTCCATTGGACGGCAATTTGAACATTTAATGAGGTTTTGACTTTCTACTTCTCCATCTTTATACAAAAAAATTTGGGAATCTAACAAAGAAAATAAGGAAGCAATCAATTTCAAAAAAAAATAACTCTATACAAGAATGTGAATATCATGCAAAGAAGTAATTTTCGGATACAAACTGGAGTAGAAGCCCTCTCGAAACATCTACTTTTATGTAAATATTGAATTATACAAAAGAAAAATACATTCGAAACAAATACTTTTATATGAATACTGAATTATACTAAAACGCTTTTCTCTATTCAGTTTGTATTCCAAACATTCGTTATGGAATTGAACCAGATATCATTCCCAGGATTGCTACACAATATAGTAAATGAATAAAACTCTACTCTATTTTATTCCAAAAAAATATTGGTCCCTACTTTTCCAAGGTGGCTCTCACCGGGAATTGTATGACCATATAGTGATGATAAGAAAAACGTCGGGAAACACTATTATAATACATAGGTGGATTTGTTATAACAGTGGCTACAAAAATTGATGAAAAAACTTAAGGTTTATATTTAAAAATGAAGTTGACGTCGCATTGCAAATTGGTTTATATCAGATTATAACAAATAGAGCCAAAAAACGAAATTCGAAAATTATTCTTTTCGTCGAATATTTCAAAAACAGGCACACTGATAATCTCCGAATAAATTATTCTAGTTCCCCAAAATAGTAAACTTTTGTCTAATTCAACCAATCTTGTAGGTCTTATTGTTTCCGAGATAGCAATTGTGGGATCAGCCAAAAAACGGCCTGTATAAGAATTATACTTATATGTTGAAAACATATATTTCATTCATTTTCCATCTTCTTATTGGTAAATGAATAATATGAAACTCTTAACAACACCATGATAGCATATCAAGTCAGATGAGAATAGTTCATTGAACAATTGTTTGTGATTTTAGGGTAGGGGTTGATGAAGAAACTGAAGCTTTATCTCAACAAGGAATCCACAGTGTAAGTATATCTAGATTTAATGTAAAACCTTATTTCAAACCACTAATGGAGAAATTGGTCTGTTCGTTTGTGTCTGTTCATTAAGAACTGATTAAGAACTGCATATATCAAGAATAGCAAGACTCCTAATAACCGTTTTTTGTTAATATTTCAACACGAAGAACAGGCCTGTTATTCAAAAGTTTTTAACAATATGTAATTGATTTCATTGTTTCGATGAATAGGTGTACAATTCCACGGAGCAAGGTTCAGGGGTAGGTAAAAATATGGCACTATTCTTTTAAATATGTTCGTTATTTTCCTTTTTTTCCTTACTAATTCAAAGAGATAATAATTGAAAATAATTTACAAAAGCAAGACTCAGGAGTAAAATGTCTTTCAACTCCATTATTGCTATTTCGATTAGGTTTTATGTTCTATGGCCTTATTGACACCGACCTCAAAAAAAAATTGTAGGTCCCTATTTTGTTTCATATTTACTACATATATCGTTTTTTTGGTTAATTTCTTGCATATATAAAAAAAAATCATAATTTTGATTTAATTTCTCTTTGAAGTCGACTTAATTTTTTAAAAGTACTTTGTTTTGTTTTTTAACGCGCGCGCGTTAATATAAAAATTTTCAAAAGTATAGCTTGATTAAACTAATTATACAAACTTACAGTGAAGAAATCATAATCAACAAAAAATGAATTGTATTGAGGAAAATTATCTTGAAATCTAGGGCTTTCAGCAACTCTCAATATCTGCACATCTAGAGAAAAGGAAGTCACATTGACTTAATTTAGACACAGGAAACAAATGAGGAAATGTGGAGAGATGTATTGTCTATTTGTGCTTGTACCATGTATTTATGCTAACATTCCACAATGTTTTGATTTCTTGGTGTTACTCATATATCATTTTATTTGTCGTCTAACTTACAAAGTACACTTTCAGGGTAACACAACACCTCGAGCAGATTGGGGTGAATTGAATGGAAGTGACTGTCCAAGGCAACAAAACGAAAAAGCCTTTCTGGCTAGAATCTGGGGCTCTTTCGATTCACATTATATGAAACCATTACTAACTCATTCCAGGCCCACTCTTCTAGAAACTTTGCCAGTGTGTTGCAACCCCTTGGCTAGATTACTCACAACCACTGAGCAAATGACACAGGTAAGAAATTTCTTTCTATTCAGCATTTGGTGGAATCCATTGTTGAGATTTTAATTCTGATGGTACTTTTGGTGAAAAGACAAAAAGCTTTGGTTTGGCTCAACAACTCAGACACATGCTTTTCGAGAACGAATAAAAATGGAAATATGCTTTGTTGTAAAGTCATTGGCCTCAGCAGCAGAACATTCAGACTATTTCTAATAGTTCAATAGCTTGAGGTAATTTTTAAAGAACATATTTTCAATATCTAAATGTAGTTTCAAACTATTGTCCAAAAATGTTTTCTTTCAGTATTAGTTTCCTAACTTCTACCACAAATTTTTATGAGATATGGAAACGCATGTCTTAAAGGGAGAATAAGAAAAAACAGTATTTTTGTTTTAAGTTTTAAACTTTTTCACTATCGGCAGTCAACTCATCTTTTTTTTTAAATAATAGAATCTTATGATAGAAATCATAAATTTTCAATCCTAATAACATATCATATCTCATTTTTCAACTCATCCATGTTTTTAAAAATGTATTTATCTTGAAAACACTTTTATCGAAGGAAACGAATAATTATTGAACAGTGTCTTTGAAATAGATATACACTTCTGTTAATTAAATATATAAATACATGTAAGTCATTATGGGTTTGTAAATATGTTTGTATATATGTGTGCATTCACGCTAAATTCAGTAAGTTCTTCAATGCAAAATTGCCAATCAGTTGGAAAATCACATCAAAAGCTCTGCTTAGGTGATGTCTTTCTGATGGTTTACAGTTATTTTATATATGAAAAGAATAAAAATTGTTTATTATTTTATTATGATTCACATCATTGTAAATGAATATGTGAATTTACGAATGAATATATTCGTATATGTTTGTAGCTGACATCATCGTTTAATCTAATAAAAAATATTTTCAAAACAGATGGAAGATATTTAAAATCAGGAACTGAAAAACACCTTTAATATATCTTTATCTTAACTTTTAAAACATCCTTGGCGATCTATGATTAAAAGAAACTAATTATTCATGATAAAATTCTTCCTGAAAAATGCCGTGTATTTTTTAGGAAGGCTCTAACAAACCAATGCGCGATTCTGATTCTGATCTATGTATAGAGGAAACCGATTTTCCTAGCACTGATAATCTGAGACCTAATTCTTATAGAGTAAGTCATAATTCATTCAAATTGGCAATGTTTTCATGTGTTGAACACTTTAGTTTGTTTTTCTTTTTAGATACCTTAAATTCTGGGTTTGTGACAAGTTGCCGGTTGATTTGTAGAAGAAAATAATGCATTCTAGACTTTTGTGATTTAGTGTTATTTTGTAGTTAGTATTTTGTTATTTTAGTTGTTTTGCGTATATTTAAAAGAATATTCAGTGTGAAAATATTGCTTTGGTATTGTCTTATGTGTTTTTAATACTTATTTTGGAAAATGATGTTATTTATAACCGATTTATCTTTTTGCAGCACATAAATTCTATAAGTGGACATCAAGTTTAAGCAAAGTTCAAGTAAGTTATGAACTCACGTTAAAGCCTTTTACTTATATTATTTTTTGTTGCCATAATTCAGTTCCAGTACATTTCTGGAATACAATTGTTGAGTTTTTTGATGTGGTTTATTTATACCAATCATATGTAACTGATTCAAATTTTTAATACTCTTTATGTGCTGTTATTAAGTGTTTAAATTCGAGATAATAATGATTGGTTGAAAAATGTCATTTTTCAATATCACCTATGTTAGGTCTCACATTTCAAAAAACGACATATTACTTTCATTACTTTGTCAGATGTTAAGTATCTCTCAAGTAATGTTTTCAATATTGACTGAATCTAGATTTAGAGTAAAACCATGAAAATATATGTTTCCTATAATAACAGTTTCAATATTGTAAATGTAGTGTACCCTACCAAAATGATAAAAATGACTGTCTACCTTGAATGACGTAAACTGTGTTAATATTTTTTCATAACTTTTTGAACTTCCTATCCCTTCAACTTTTTTTTCTGTTGAGAACCAACGGATCAGATCCAGTTGAAAGTGGAAAAATATTTTTTGTATGTACTTGCACAGATTTTTCTATTTTAAATTTGACAATATTTGTTGATAGGTATCACCAAGGTATCTTAAATTAATTCTGCCACTGTCGAGATTTGTGTTTATCCATCTGTAAGCCACATTTCACACAGTCCAGCTTAAAGATATTTTGATTATTATTTTCTCAGCAGTTATTTTTATGTGGGTATTGCTTGTATTCTCAATTATATTTTATATACTTTATTGCTGTTTACCATGTTTAGGCTGTGAAGTTTTTTGGGTGGAAAATATCTGATACGATTTATATAGTACTGAAAATACTGAATAAATTCTAAGTGACTATTCCCAGTTTTATTTCAAAAAAATTTTACTTCAACTATTGATAATTTGGGTAATGTAACAAATCTCATCTATCATTTGTGTGCGTGTGCTTCCGTGTGTGTAATAGCCGGTAGGCGGACCCCGCTTGAAAACAAACATCAAAATTACTGCGTAAAGAAAGCGAAAAATGTGGTGTGACACCCAAGTTTGTATGTCGTGTTGGTGGTTTGACCAATCTTTAAAAAACGTTAGCAAAAATTTGAGAAGCCCTCCATTAATATCATCGGGGAAAGATGTTTCTAGAAATGATGTGAAATCAAGAAAGGTTAATGTTAAAGACGAACGGATATACACCCGGGACGA